CTCAGATCTAAATCTTATATCATATTGTTTATATCTATAATCTATATCCCACTTCTAAATCTGTATCTTATAGTTTATATCTATATCCCACTTATAAATCTATATCTAATTGTTCATATCTATATCCCACTTCTTAACCTTATATCTAATTGTTTGTATCAAAATTCTTGCATATCAGACAGGATTATCTACTGTTTACACCGGTGCAAGAAAACCCTGTCCTACAGCCCCCCCCACCTCCCATGTTAAACAAGTCGCATGCTTTAAATGACATCATTGCTGCGCGCATTTTATGAATGAATTGCATTCTTAGGATGACGTCAACCGTTAGGAATGAAGTTCTAAGTTCAAGGCTACTATAAGAAACAAGAGGGCCATGATGGCCCTGAGGTCGCTCACCTGTATATAGGCCCCACACCCCCGGGCCAATTTTTACCCAAGGGCTTTTATTTGTTTAATTGAACAGACTTGGTAGACACCCAAGAAGATGTTTCATGCTAAACATCTAAGTTCTAGCTCATTGGCTTTTTTAAAAGAAGATTTTTAAAGTTTTTACTATACACATATAGTTAAAAACAATGACACCCCTGGGGCAGGGCCAGTTTTGACCCCCGGGCGTTTATTTTAACAAACTTTATAGATATTTACTTAAAGATGTTTCATGCTTATTATCTAAACTCTAGCTATTTGGGTTTTTCAAAGAGGTTTTTTAAGTTTTTGCTATACACATATAAGGAAAATCAATAACCCCCAGGGCTTTTATTTGAACAAACTTGGTAGACACCCATTAGAAGATGTTTCATGCTAAATATCTTAGCTCTAGCTCTTTGGGTTCTTTAAAAGAAGATTTTTTAAGTTTTTACTATATGCATATAGGGAAAATCAATGACCCCCTGAGGCGGGGCCAATTTTGACCCCAGGGCTTTTATTTGAACAAACTTGGAAGACACTCATTAGAAGATGTTTCATGCTAAATATCTTAGCTCTAGCTCTTTGGGTTCTTTAAAAGAAGATTTTTTAAGTTTTTACTATATGCATATAGGGAAAATCTGTGACCCCCTGGGGCGGGGTCAATTTTGACCCCAGGGCTTTTATTTGAACAAACTTGGTAGAAATTCACTAGAAGATGTTTCATGCCAAATATCTAAGCTCTAGCTCTTATGGTTCTTTAAAAGAAGATTTTTTTAAGTTTTTACTATACGCATATAGGGAAAATCAATGACCCCCGGGGCGGGGCCAATTTTGACCCCAGGGCTTTTATTTGAACAAACTTGGTAGAAATTCACTAGAAGATGTTTCATGCCAAATATCTAAGCTCTAGCTCTTACGGTTCTTTAAAAGAAGATTTTTTAAGTTTTTACTATATGCATATAGGGAAAATCAATGACCCCAGGGGCGGGGCCAATTTTGACCCCAGGGCTTTTATTTGAACAAACTTGGTAGACACCCATTAGAACATGTTTCATGCTAAATATCTTAGCTCTAGCTCTTATGGTTTTTTAAAAGAAGATATTTAAAGTTTTTTCTTTTGGTTGCCATGTCAACCAGAGTTCTGCATGGAATTAAATTCTTTGAACAATTTTTAAAGGTGACCACCAAAGGAACATTCCTGTGAAGTTTGGATGAAATTGGCTCAGTGGTTTATGAGGAGATGTCATTTAAAGCAAAAGTTTACGGACGGACGGACGGACGGACGACGGACGGACGACGGACGGACGCCGGACGGACGGACGCCGGACGAAAAGCGATCACAAAAGCTCACCCTGTCACTTTGTGACAGGTGAGCTAAAAAGTGCATAATGAGAATATCAGGTTTTGTAGTTTCTGTTCTGAAAATAATTGATATGTAATATGTAAGAAAAGAATCAAACACCGGCTGTCGGTGCAGACATGATTATCTAGCTCTCGGGTAACTGTTCAGCGAAAAAACTTGGCAGAGCCTTGTTACCGCCGTAAACTGTCACTCTCGAGCTAGATATTCCTGTCTGTACCGTTAGCCGGTGTAAGATTCATATAATCTATACCACATTTTCTAAATCTTTATCATATTATTTATATCTATATCCCACTTCTAAATCTTATCTGATTGTTTATATCTGTATCCTTACTTCTAAATCTTATTTCTTATTGTTTATATCTATATCCCACTTCTAAATCTATATCATATTTCTGCATCTTGTATATCACACTACAAAATCTTATTGTTTATATCTTATTGTTTATATCTGTATCCCCCTTCTAAATCATATCTTATTGTTTATATCTGTATCCCCCTTCTTAATCATATCTTATTGTTTATATCTGTATCCCCCTTCTTAATCATATCTTATTGTTTATATCTATATCCCACTTCTATATCTATCTCTTATTGTTTATATCTATATACCACTTCTAAATCTACATCTAATTTCTGAAATCTCATGTCTTCATCTTATATCTTACTGTTTATATCTATATCCCACTTCTAAATCTATATCTTATTACTTATATCTATATGTCACTTCTTGACGCATATATTAACAGAAATTAACAGATAAGCCTTCACTATAGACATTTACCTCACAATCTGTTCCCTCGTATCCACGGTTACATGTACATCTGTAGCCAGATCCAGGGACATTGGTGCAAGATCCATGTTGGCTGCAACTGTTAACATTACAGAAAGCTTTCGGACTGGCACAGTTTGTTCCTGAAAACATTAATGACATTATCACTTTAATATGTCCCTTCTTTCAATTGAAAATTTGATACTGGGGCTCTGACAATTTTTTTAATCTTGCCATTTTGCAGTTTGAGGGATTCCATCTTTCATAACATTTTTCTGATATTTTATATTTGTAACAGAGTTTTGTTAGTATATCATGATTCTTAGGGTGGAGCAAAGGCTTATAAACGTTACACTGAGATTAGCATAATATTGCGTGTTATAACAATGTAGCAGTGTAATTGTTGATAAACCCATCAGTGCAGTATTATTAAAAATTCATATCATGACTTTCCCATACAAATGTGACCTTTGAGCTAGAGATCTGATTCTTGTGCACAACACAAGGTCATCATGTCCAACACATTTATACATTGTTATTTCAAAATTCATCAGAACACTCAACACAAACATCAATGTACTTTTATGAAAAAGTGTGACCTTCACCTTTGAGCTACAGATCTGGTGGAACTTTTGGTGTGACACAATGTCCAAATGTGCTATACATTTATGCAAAAAATGTTTCAAAATTCATTATTAAATGAAAGATTTAGACTGGACAGCAAGTGTGGACAGACCAAAGGAAAGAAGCTGTAAATAACTATAGGCTTCTCCCATTTTTTTTTTTTTTTTTTTTTTTTTTTTTTTTTTTTTTGGTAAGGAGGAAAAACCAATACAAACACCTCACTGATCATTCATAATCATCTTTGGCTTAATCTGATAGATATGCTTTATTTATGTGTATTTGTACACAATATAATAAAATAAACTAACTCAACAAATCTCAATTACAAAAATGTATTGTATGTTTAGTTTTTCAGTGTAATTAGTCAGACAGACAGACAGACATACTGGTGGAAAGGGCAAAAGTTGCGATTGCCATTATAACACATTTATTCTTGAAAATTTCCAAATGTGCATTATTGCTACAACATATGGTTCTATATACATACATCCTAATAGATTTATTGTTAATAACGATATATTGTATAATAATTGAACAACAACAAAACTTGGAAAAACAGGCCAAGATAGTTTCCCTACCAAATTAACTTGTCACCAGAATATATTTATCCAAGACAATCAAGAGGTCAGATACTTTATAAACATGAAATGTTATGATCAAATTAAACCTTACCTTCATAGAATTCGGTACATTGGCACTCATAGCCAATAATTTGATCCACACATGTTCCACCATTTATACATGGGTTAGTTGCGCATGAGTTAATATTGGTCTGACAATTTTTGCCCGTGTAACCGGTTGTACAACTGCATCGATACCCACCGAACATGTCGGAACATGCCGCACCATGCTGGCACGGGGTAAGTGAAGCACAGTAATCGGTCTTCTGTTTACAAGTGAAAGACCTGAATACTGAAATATATTTCAAGGGTCAAAGGTCAAAATCTGAATTTATTAATGTAGGTAAATATCCATAGTATGCCTTAATCACAATGACTTTGAGCTTTGTTACTATTGCATAAAAAAAACACCATAATATAGATGATGAAACAACCTGATATTGACTTAATAATAAAGATACCCCTATGAGTATTGTAAAACTAGCCATAATTTTAAATTGGAACTAGATCTACTTGTTGTTAAAATCAGGTTTTATAACAAATTTTAACATTCAAAGAGTAGAAGGCATAAAATCATGACAGAATGTTGTCATTAACTTAATTATAAAAGGCTTAGCCACTAGTATATGTCAGACCAGCTTGTACACCCATGAAGTCTAACTAGGCTTTATACTGCTGATAGCTAGATCTTTTTGTATTCTGATATTGAAATCCCTCAACCTTTAAATGGACTGGCCCAAAATTCAAAGCAGGGTAAATCCATTACAAAAATTCTGGGAGTTAAGGATAAATTCTTAAGCTGGTATTTTGATGCTTAATGTACTCTTAAACAGCAAGTATCAGTAATTTATGTACCTCTGCTCACAGAACACTTAAACTGAATATCATAATCTTGATTTGCAAACGGATACGAGAGTGTTTTTAGTTCCTGGTTGCATGTAAGACCGCCTGGTAAGTTTCTATTATCCAAGCATGTAGCTCCAACTCGGCAACATCTCGTATATAAAGGTTCAGTGCCTCCACAAATATCTAGTCCGTACTGAAACAAAGTATCGCAAATACTATATGCTATATTCTAACAAACTTCATAATATTTTCCTAGTCAGAAGAGTATAATACTACATGAAATATGCATGACATAATAAAGAAATGTTAATGCATCATTTGATATCATATGTGATGACAATAGACAAAGTTTTAATACATGTAATGACACTTTTCTGCTTGGTAATAGTATGATACGTTTTTCTCAATTCTAGTTTCAGCAGCATTTTTAAATGGAAACATATAATATATCAATTTTCCCTACATTTTAATTCAATAATGCACAGTTTATTGCTTAAATATTTTGTTATCAATCACTCCCGCATATCAATCATCATGATTATAATATATTACAGCCCATTTGAACTCAAACACTGCATTATATTACAACAATGCACTCAAAATTGCTATGCATTTCCTACATAAAATTATCTTAGACATGTGTCAAATTAACATAAACTAAGACAAAAATGTAACAATGCCTATCAATTGTCCTTACTTTTCTGATATTTTTTGGTTTCATCAATGAAAGCCTTTTAAAAAATCACTTTTTTCACCGATGAAAATACACAAAATTATACAAATTCATTAAAAGCTACACATTCCTAAATATTTCATGATTTCACACACATTTTTGACATCACATAATCTTGACTTCACACACTTTATTTGCCATGATATTTCTTGACACCACACACTTTATTTGTCATGATATTTTTTGACATCATACACTTTATTTGCAATGATATTTTTTTATATTACATATTAAAAGTTTTTTGGTCTACATGTACTTACATCTCTCAGAGTTGCCAGGATATATTGAGGTATAATAAGATAGTTCATTAATTTCACAAACATTTTTTGCCATTACATAGTTTATTAGTCTACATGTACTTACATCATTCAGAGTTGCCAGGGTTTCAGAGTCAGCAGGGGATGAAGGAGTAGGTATTTTCAGACTATATCTTGGTGTATAGAAGTCATCTGGAATAAAGAAACCAACACAAAAATTTAACACCACATTTGGCAAAAGTCTTATCTTTTGTCTGGCTTGTAAAGTTTGTCTTTCAAATTACAGTCATGTTTTTGTTGTTTTTTTTAATGTTGTTGTATAGGCTTTATTACTTCTTTCTTAACAGAGATATATTCTGTTCATATTATATAAAAATTCAGTGACAATTTTTCACTTTGAGCATCCTGAGTACTGATCACTGTCAGTTGATTGTCAAGGGTTGAATGTAGTGGTGTCACATTTATCTGTTTAAACAGGTACAATTGGTTTTTAGCTAAAAACCAGTGAGAAAATTCAATAACCAGTAACTGAGGTTAGTATCTGGCAAAGGGGCGAAAAAGGCTTTGAATTGATTCTAAATATTACCTTAGTTTTCTTATAACAAGATTTGACAATAGTTTGTATCTTAGTTGTACTCAACAATTTTTTTTTTCCAGTCTGATCGAATACAGTACAACCATAGTGGAAAATAGTTACTCCATATTCGGATATGTATTGTAATCATTTTGAGTACAACAAAACATGAACAAAATGTCATATCTTGTCATAAAGAAACAATGTTTATGTTGAAAATCTAAGGATTTTATAAGTACAGCCGGTTAAACATTTAACACGGTTCTTACGTCGCGGTTTAAATGATTAGCATTTTTTCTAACCGTGACACGCCTAGTTGTATGGGATATCTCTTAAAAGGTAGCAGGCCCTCAGTGGGCTGTACTATTTCTTATAAAGTACCTACAATTAACTTTTTTTTTAAATATTCATACCAACATTTTGAGTGTCATATGATTATTTTCCAGCTTTACTGGTGGAAAGACTTCAGATGTCCCTTCGTGCATAATTTCAGGCACTATAGCGGGGGAACCTGAGGAATGCTTATTTTTCATTACATTAACATTTCAATACAAAGGCCGGTTGATGCAACATTTCCTTTGAAGGTTTAACTTCAGGAACATAGTTGCCATAGCATTTCTTTTTATAGCATGTGAAATTATCCTTTAAATTGCACAAAATTAGAGGTTTGTAAACTGAAAATGTGTCATATGTATCATACCAAGAATACTTGTTAATATGGAAAAAAATTTCTTATTTTTATGTCAGTTAAACTTTATTTTGATCATGAAATCGTTTCATTCACTCTAACAGACTTTATACAAAAAATATACCCAGACTACTGTACTAGCTACTTTCTGTGTTATGTCAAACATTGTCATACTCAAACATTAAGCTAACATGTGAATACACACAGTGTTAGTGAAGCCTTACCAGTTGGGTTGATGACATATTTTGTGTACAGATGCACATTTGAATTGGTGCCAAATGTTAGGGATGTGTCAGAGCTCCAAATGTAACATTTGTTGGTATTCCAATCAAATGCAAACAGGTTGCAGCGAGTTGTAATGCTAGTGCATCTTATCCTACATTCTGCTGCAGTGTCCACATCACTTACAGCAGTAAAGTCCTGAAGATTTGTGGGTGCTCTGTTTAGCTGTATCTGGTACTGAGCATAACTTCCCTCAGCATCTGAAAAATTGAAACAAACATAAAAATGGTTATAAAAACATCGATATATTGAAGGTTTATAACAAAACTGTTGTAAGTCCATCTTATTTCATATAAGTTACTGCAAATTTGCAATGAACTTGTAATGAATTAGTACTAGTAATCTGTTTTATGGGTTTAGCTTTTCAATGGGTTGTGAAATGTTTTGTTATCCCCCACCCCAAAATACTATAAAGATCATATGGCAATTATACTATTGAAGAAACAACTCAGATGCCATGTCCATGCATTGTTTTAAGCATATACATGCATCTTTGTAGAGCCACTGGCCTTCCGTATCCCTCCAATGAGACAATTATAAGTCCATGGAAGATTTGAACTTACAGCACTAAAAAACAAGTCACTTTAACCATATGGCCATGCAAGTAAAGTATCTTCCAAACTATAACGCTATATCACATAGCTAGGTTTGGAGTAATGGCCTTATGGTCTAGGTGTTAGCTTTTGAAACATCATGGGTTTGTGCTATTAGGTCTACTTTTGCTGTAACATCTACAAGTTATTTCTGGAAGGGGCTATTTCCTCATTTGACAACCAGTTATTTCTATAAAGGGATATTTCCTCATTTGACAACCAGATATTCTATAAAGGGATATTTCCTCATTTGACAACCAGTTATTTCTATAAAGGGATATTTCCTCATTTGACAACCAGATATTTCTATAAAGGGATATTTCCTCATTTGACAACCAGTTATTTCTATAAAGGGATATTTCCTCATTTGACAACCAGATATTTCTATAAAGGGATATTTCCTCATTTGACAACCAGATATTTCTATAAAGGGATATTTCCTCATTTGACAACCAGATATTCTATAAAGGGATATTTCCTCATTTGACAACCAGTTATTTCTATAAAGGGATATTTCCTCATTTGACAACCAGATATTTCTATAAAGGGATATTTCCTCATTTGACAACCAGTTATTTCTATAAAGGGATATTTCCTCATTTGACAACCAGATATTTCTATAAAGGGATATTTCCTCATTTGACAACCAGATATTTCTATAAAGGGATATTTCCTCATTTGACAACCAGATTTTTCTATAAAGGGATATTTCCTCATTTGACAACCAGATATTTCTATAAAGGGATATTTCCTCATTTGACAACCAGATATTCTATAAAGGGATATTTCTTCATTTGACAACCAGTTATTTCTGGAACAAGATATTTCCTCATTTGACAACCCATTATTTCTGGAACAGGGTATTTCCTCATTTGACAAACAGTTATTTCTGGAAGAGGATGAGAACAACATTTTTGAGTGCCTTTTATATAACAGATTAAACTGCTATTTTTTATACAAGAGCACTGCATGCGGTGTTAATTCTTGTCTGTTACAGTCAACAACATATCAATAACCAATTTTACAAAACATTTAAGTTAAAAAGGGGCATAACTCCAAACATATAGCTTTCAGAAATATGACCCTTATCTAACAATGCCACCTGGTCATGATAAGCATGTATTCCAAGTTTCATTTTAATAACTTTTAAGTTTGAATAATGGGCTACATAAAGATATTGGAGAACAATTACAAGTCAATTCTTTCTTTGAAACAGTGTAGCTAAAAGTGAATTTCCTAGACAGTTCCAGCTTCAGGCACAAGTATATTGTTTATGAAAGAAGTTAACAAATCCCAGAAATATTTCAGAACTAGAAAAGGTCAACTGATAAAGAATAAAGGGAACACTATTGGTGAATTTCATCAGCAAAACTTACCATAGGTATATTCTGAATTACAAATGCACATATGTTTATTTGCTTGATAATCATCAACGCAAGATGCCCCATTGTCTGACCTCCGACAATTGTTAGATGTACAAGTATCCTGACGCACTTCACAGAAAACTCCGCTGTAGCCAGATGGACAATTACACGAGAAAGAATTCAACTGATTATTACACACACCTCCATTGATGCATGGATTTGAGGCACATTCATCTGAAATTCAAAAATTTATTCATCATTAGTAAACTTTCAGCATTTATAGTGGTTGATAGGCCTGCTCATTATTAAACATTCTTATATAACATTCTTATTTATTTCATGCTTTCCAGTGTTTTATTGTAATATATCAGATGATTATATCCTGATAAACCACTAGTGAAATTTATAAAATATAATTTTCACTGTAGCCGGACTATATCTGAATGCGGATGAACTAAATGGAATAATTTAGGCAAAAATAAATGCCGTCGTACGTAAATTTTGCTTCTTTAGGAAAAGTAAGTCGAACTCACCATATATCATGTTAAACAAGAACTGTCGGAGGACAGTAACGCTCGACTATTCGAAAATTTGTCACAAGGGTGTTTCATTGAGTATAATAATGCTTACCTATATGAATACATAAAATTGTACGAAAAGGTACAAACCCTTCAAGTTTCAATACAATCACAGAGAACAAGTGTGTGAAGTTTCTATCCATTCCCTTCAGTAGTTATGGAGATACCAGCTTACACACAAAAACTTAACCAAGAATTTCTAAGATAAAAAGGGGCAAAATTATACAAAAAAGCAAATCAGAGTTATGGGACTTGTGCCAATCATCTTAGATAATCACAGAGACCAAGTGTGTGAAGTTTCAATCCATTCCCTTCAGTAGTTATGGAGATACCAGCTTACACGCAAAAACTTAACCAAGAATTACTAAGTCAAACAAGGGGCATAATTATGTAAAAAAGCAAATCAGAGTTATGGGACTTGTGCCAATCATCTTAGATAATCACAGATAAAGAGTGTGTGAAGTTTCAATCCATTCCCTTCAGTAGTTATGGAGATACCAGCTTACATACAAAAACTTAACCAAGAATGTCTAAGTCAAAAAAGGGGCATTTTTATGTAAAAAAGCAAATCAGAGTTATGGGACTTGTGCCAATCATGTTAGATAATCACAGAGAACGAATGTGTGAAGTTTCAATCCATTCCCTTCAGTAGTTATGGAGATATCAGCTTACACGCAAAAACTTAACCAAGAATTTCTAAGTCGAAAAAGGGGCATAATTATGTAAAAAAGCAAATCAGAGTTATGGGACTTGTGCCAATCATCTAAGATAATCACAGAGAACAAGTGTGTGAAGTTTCAATCCATTCCCTTCAGTAGTTATGGAGATACCAGCTTACATACAAAAACTTAACCAAGAATTTCTAAGTCAAAAAAGGGGCATAATTATGTAAAAAAGCAAATCAGAGTTATGGGACTTGTGCCAATCATCTTAGATAATCACAGAGAACAAGTGTTTGAAGTTTCAATCCATTCCCTTCAGTAGTTATGGAGATACCAGCTTACATACAAAAACTTAACCAAGAATTTCTAAGTCGAAAAAGGGGAATAATTATGTAAAAAAGCAAATAAGAGTTATGGGACTTGTGCCAATCATCTAAGATAATCACAGAGAACAAGTGTGTGAAGTTTCTATCCATTCCCTTCAGTAGTTATGGAGATACCAGCTTACACACAAAAACTTAACCAAGAATTTCTAAGTCGAAAAAGGGGCATAATTATGTAAAAAAGCAAATCAGAGTTATGGGACTTGTGCCAATCATCTTAGATAATCACAGAAAACAAGTGTGTGAAGTTTCAATCCATTCCCTTCAGTAGTTATGGAGATACCAGCTTACATACAAAAACTTAACCACAGGGACGCCGAGGCCGACGCCGACAAATGGGTGACTGCATTAGCTCGATTATTCTACGAATAGTCGAGCTAAAAAGTAACAAAATTAGAGAAATTTAACAGAACTGTATTTCAAAATTGATGATGTGACGTCATGATATGATGACGTCACAAAGGAGAATGCGCGACGTTACGCGGCAAAATCAGTAAAAAATACTGAAAATCACTTAAAAAGCATGAAATAAACAGAAAATTTATTTGTTTTTAATATAAGATTGAAATATATTTCATTCGTGAACACCAGCTATTATATTTTCACTCGTGGCTACGCCACTCATGAAAATATTGCATCTGGTGTTCACTCAGTGAAATTATATTTCAATCTTACATGCAAAACAAACAAATATCCTCTATATAACATTCTTATATAACATTCTTATATAAAAGAACTTCTATGTGCCAAAGTTTATTAAGTCAATCTTCTCACTGAGTCAAAGTAAAATGAAAGTTCAGATTTTTTTCGAAAATATTCATTATAAACCTATATGAGACAAATTTTGGTTAAGTTATTGCCCTTTCCTTTTGTGACACCTTTTGTAATTTACATGTAAATGCCAACAACTGGAAATATTGACATTAAGTTGAGGCAGATATCCTGATATTTCTTATTTTTTGCACAAATCCCTTCAACTTTGGACATACTGAAGTTCGATCGATATATCGATATACCTGCTAAATATTAATCCCTGCATGCTTCTGTATGTATATGAATAATATACTTAGCAACAAAATGGCAGATATCCTTGCTTCAATTTCTTACCAATCATTTACATTTCTCAATCTTTTTATTAGTCATTTTGGGATATCAACATTTCTAATATTTCTTGTTTAATTTGTACCAAAAAAAAGCTATTTGAAAATATCATATAATCAACTTTATCAGCTTGATTCCATAAAACCAACACTAGGAGCCTCAAAACTTACAGCCATGATGTCTTAATACAGAAGTTTGTCATCATTCCTATGTAAGCTGGAAACATTTATACTTGGTATGAAATTCCACATAGACATAAAACAATTTTTCATCATGGATGATAAATGTTCAAGAATCCAAAATGAAAAAGAAATATTTTACTAACCAACATCTTCTTGGCATTTTTCGCCTGTATATCCGGATCGACAAACACATCTGTATCGTAAATTGGAGTCTCGGCTCACGTCTTCACAACGGAGTGTTCCAACAGCATTGCATGGTGATGGGTTACATATTTCGGCACTCCTCTCGCAGCTTTAAAAATAAGTAACATGCAATCAATGTTAAAATATCACTCCTGATTTTTTTTATTATCATACAATCATGCAATTATACTGCGCAGGTTTCAATATTCATACTGTATTATCATTGTTTCTTTACCTGTAACATTTGTTTGTACATTTTATTATCTTTTATCGTATATCATAACCCTACTTTTGTCAATAACCCTATACAGACAGAAAATGAAGTTATCCATGCAACTAGTGCAGACCTAAACCAGTCTGCATATACAATATATGCTGTCTGAACATAGTCTGCAATATTTGTTACTGACACAGTCAAATTTTCCCTTCAAATAATCAGCGGTATAGTCCAGATTGAAATACGGCCAAGTCCATTTTTAGATATTTAGCATGGTAAGGTTAATATATAACTTGAAGCACTCTTCACTCATTAGTACAATTTTCAAGTTTTCATATAAGTTAACATGAATCTTGTGGTGTACAGCTTTAATCATTCATCTTCAATTATTCATTATAACACAGTATCTCCTCTTACACAGCATTACCTCTAAACATGCTGTGTACCATTAAAAAATTTTAAACATATCATGATTAAAACAATGTGCTATATCTATCTATGCAAATTTGAAGAATTTTCTTTTAATAAATCTTTAAGATAAAATTCTAAGGAATAAAAAACACAAAATCTTGTTTTGGCCATTTACAAGTTTAAAGTAGTTTCAGAATGACATACTTTAAAGTCATGCAAAATTTATTCACAGGGAAAGCAGTATTCGCTAAATTACATGTACATGTTAAAAAGCCACAGACATTTCATGCATTTTAAACAAAAAAATACACAAAAATCACGTCAGAGTGTTTAAGTACATCTGAAACAAAAGCTGGCATGACATGATATCTGATTATATACTAATTAGATTTTCTGTACAGAGGAAGAAAAAGGGTGCTGGATTCAATTCCTTTTATATACATTTTATATTTAAATACATTTTTCTCAATCAGTCATGTAGGGAGCAGTATCTTTTGTCAGTGGGGCAGCACTTTTTAACATCCAGTTGATTTTTACATCCACTTTAACGTATGTTTTTGGTTGTATTGCAGCGGCCAGTATATACTTTGATATAGCCAATATAACATAGAAAGACATTGACATTATTTTGAAACCAATCTGAGAGCTCCTAGAGTTATTTTTTCTTCAATGTACAGGTGTGAAGGTTTGATATAAAAACAAGATTGCATTTGAGAAAAATGCTATGCCACCGCATTAATACAACACTAAATAGTAGTGTCGGAACAGATTTTCTTTGTTTCTATACAATTTTGAAGATTGTCATAATGCATAGATCCCTGACCTATCTAATTCTTATTATCAGATTAGTGGTTAAATCTGTTGTTTAAACTCAATAAAAGATCAGAGTAGGAATATATCAATGCACTTGAGTCTAGTGAATTTGGTGGTGAAGGTCATATTTCACACAGCCTAAATTTCATGACTACATCAAAGGACAACATAGTAAGACACTTTGTCAAAATCTAGGTCAGCTGAAATCAAAGTTCACTTAACATCTTAATCTGTACACATGGTTCAAATTTCATAGCTGTACATCAAATGACAAGAAAGAAGGTCACATCATCAAAATCTAGTTCACCTGATATCAAAGTTCAATTTTACAACTAAAACTGTGCACATGGTCAAAATTTCATTGCTGTACATCAAAGGAACAAGAAAGTAGGTCACTGTCCCCCTTGGGCAAGGCAAAATTTTGGACCCAAGGGTTTAATTCAAAACAATCTTGATACAGGTCCACCAAAACAACATTTCAAGTCAAATATCTAAGCTGTAGCTTTCTCCTATTCAGAAAAGATTTGTTTATTTTCTGTTTTTTACTATGTGAACATAATGAGAATCACTGCCCCTGGGGCAGGGCCAATTTTAACACTAGGGCATAATTAAAACAACTTTAGTAGAGAACCCATAGAATTATATTATAGAGCAAACATCAAAGCTCTATGCCTTGTACCTTTCAGACAAAAAATATTTCTTTTTTTTTTTTTACTATATGTACATAGTGAAAATCAATGACTCCTGGGGGGGGCCAATTTTGACCCCTGGGCTATAATGTGTACAATCTTGCTAGAGGTTCACTACATAATGTTTTCATGCCAAATACTTAACTCTAGCCTTTGTAAATTTAGAGAAGATGATTTTTTTAAGTTTTTACTATATACATATAAGGAAAACCTATGGCCCATGGGGGGGGCTAATTTTGACACAAGCGCAAAATTTGAACACTTTGGTAGAGTACCTATAGATGATATCATTTAAAAATATTCAAGCTCTAAGCCTTGTACCTTAAGACAATAAGATTTTTTTACTTTTTACTATATGTATATATTTGAAAATCAATGACCCCGGGGCAGGGCAATTTTGACCCCAGGGCTATAATTTGAACAATCTTTGCTAGAAGTTCACTTCACAATGTTTCATGCAAAATATCTAACCTCTAGCATTTGCTAGAAGAAATTTTTTTTACTATAAAGTTTTTACTATATACATATAAGGAAAACCAATGACCCCCGGGGCAGGGACGATTTTGACCCCAGGGCTATAATTTGAACAATCTGAGTAGAGGTCTACCAGACAATGCCTTATGCAAAAATATCTAAGCTCTAGGCCTTTTGGGGTCTTTACAACAAGGTATTTTAAGTTTTTTACTATACCGGTATGTACATATAGTGAAAATCAATGACCCCCGGGCGGGGCCGATTTTGACCCCAGGGCTATAATTTGAACAATCTTGGTAAGGGTCTATCAGACAATGCCTTATGCAAAATATCTAAGCTCTAGGCCTTTTGGGTCTTTACAAGAAGTTATTTTAAGTTTTTTACTATATGTACATATAGTGAAAATCAATGACCCCCGGGGCGGGGCCGATTTTGACCCAGGGTTATAATTTGAATAATCTTGGTAGAGGTCTACCCAGACAATGCCTTATACAAAATATCTAAGCTCTAGGCCTTTTGGGTCTTTACAAGAAGTTATTTTAAGTTTTTACTATATGTACATATAGTGAAAATCAATGACCCCGGGCGGGGCCGATTTTGACACCCCAGGGTTATAATTTTGAATAATCTTGGTAGAGGTCTACCAGACAATGCCTTATACAAAATATCTAAGCTCTAGGCCTTTTGGGTCTTTACAAGAAGTTATTTTAAGTTTTTTTACTATATGTACATATAGTGAAAATCAATGACCCCCGGGGCGGGGCCGATTTTGACCCCAGGGTTATAATTTGAACAATCTTGGTAGAGGTCGACCAGACAATGCCTTATGCAAAATATCTAAGCTCTAGGCCTTTTGGGTCTTTACAAGAAGATTTTTTAAATTTATTCTTATAATTCCTATTGGTTGCCATGGCAACCAGATTTCTGCATGAAATGAAATTCTTTGAACAACTTTGGAAGCCCTTCACCCAAGGATCAATCCTGCCAAGTTTGGTTGAAATTGGACAAGTGGTTTTTCACAAGAAGATTTTTTAAGTTCACTATATAATCTATATAACACACACACACACAAACAAACACACACACAGGTGAATCGCTATATGCCACCGCATCGCAGATGCTGCGGTGGCATAAAAATCCCCTGTATCCAGCAATTTTGGTTACAAATATTCAGCAATTTTGGTTATAGTACTATGTAGATGGATGTTTTATGTAAAAACAAGTGCCAAGTTCCAATGAATATCAGCCATGCCCTGCGGAGTAACCTTGATTGACCCAGTGACCTATGACACCTGGTAGAATTTATCAAACTTCATTTGCCTGTGAAGACTTAATTCAAGAATAACCTGAAAATTTCACCAAATGAATACCAAAATTTAACTTTACCAAGAGCAAAAACATGGAAGTACTAGAAGCATTGTCCCGGTAGTTTTACAATGAGATTTGGGGCATCCGAGGGGACGAATTGCCCAAAGATGAGCAAGAGACATGTTTATATCGAGACTGAGCAAGAGAATTGTAACACCAGTATTCAGAATTCATGCATTATCACCTAAACACGTAAAGCCAATTTCTGCCATGCTCATTGCTTAATCATAAATTCCACCATTGCTTAATCATAAATTCCAAATGCCATTTACTGAATGATTATTGCAGCTCAAAGAGCAATGTACATTAATTGACAATTTAAAAAAAAAGTTCTGAAACAACAATTGTTTATAACAAGTGCCAAACTTAAAATTGCTAAATGCTTGGCATTTAGTATTAACCACTATAGCACAATACTTGGCTTTCAGCATATAATATCTGTTTAGGGTACATTATGATCAGCAGCAATCAAGTTAACAAACTAGTAGTGGATTACATATAAAAATATATATTTTCTCAACAACATGTACTCAATTATTGTAAGATATCAAGTGCTTCACCAAGTTATAAATTGCACCATCTGCAAAAACTGTGATAAACAGCAAACTGACTATCCATATTCACATAATTCTGGTAAAAAAAAATGACAATTAAATCTTAAGAGTAATATTACATTATGCTTTTTTACACTTTTGTGTGATATTGTTTCTCTCTGCCACCAGTATTTTTAGCTAGATCAGACAACACAGATGAGAATGCTGGCATGGCTATATATTGTAAACTGTTTAATTATAAATAAAAAAAAGAAAATCTCTAGAAACAGCAAGTCATATTCTCTCAAACATTGTTTGAGCCGGCGTCATGACAAAACCAAACATAGTGCGTTTGCGACCAGCATGGATTCAGACCAGCTTGCGGCAATTCCACGCAGTCTGATCAGGATCCATGCTGTTGGCTGTCAGTTTCTCCACTTGTAATAGAGTTGGTAAGCGAACAGCATGGATCCTGATCAGAGTGCGTGGAGGCACAGGCTGGGTCTGGATCCCAATGCTGGTCATAAACGCACTATGTTGGTTTGTGTCGTGACGAGGCTCATTTGTTCTTTTGCATCAAGAAGAAGAAAAAAGAAACCACTTAAAAATGGACTGTTATAAAGTTGGCAAATCAAGGAACACTTTCCACCATGTGGTATGCATCCTTTTTTCATGAATGTAGTTCTAAAGGGTAAAGAAAGCTGTCAAACATTAAATGTTTTGATACCCACTACTAGTTCATTACTTTAAAGGGACTCAACTGAGGTTTCATTACACAACCGGAATTGCAAAATAATTTTTTTTGAGACTAATGTTGATGTAATTTTAGACCAATACTTGAGTGCAAAATTTCAGATCGTCCCCTCACTCAGTTTTTCTAATTGTGAAAAATGATCAAAATTTGAAAAATGTTGCAAGGCTTTTTAATTATAATCAGACTATAATAGCACAATCATACTATTTTCAATTTATTCTGAATATATATCTTAAATATCTTTTGCAAATATTTCTGTTTTAATTGCCCAAGCTGATACATTTAAGAAATTCAAATTTTATGTTTTTGGGCTCTGAACCTCAGAAGAGTTTCCTTTAATAATGTTATGCTGTTTATAATTTTGTTTATTGTCTAAAACTCAAACCCACTTGTTGCTTTATTAAAGTAAAAGACAGAGTAAACAAAAAATTAAAAACAATCATTATATACATTACAATATTTCATTTTTATAAAGGTTTAAAATGTAGTGATTAAAACATTTCAATATAAATTGTATAACTTTGAAAAGTTTTGACAAAAATGAAATATGTAAATAACAAAGCAAAATTGACAGTCAGCATTACCTGACATTTAAAAGAAATGCAATTTCAAAATAAGGAGAGTAAACTTATAAGGAAAATTCTGTGGGTTATAAAAAATTCAACAGATTTATAAAAAATTCAATGGGCTATAAGATTCCATGAATCATCAAGAAATTTCATGGTCTATAAAGAAATTTAATAAGAGAGATCTTTCAAAATTGAACAAGTATTTCCAATTATGAACTGAATACCTTAAATGGTAAATGAGAAAAAGGAAACCTTTGCAAAAAAAAATTTTTTTGAAGTAAAAACAAAAATAATACATATTATCGCAGGATTATCATTCTGCTTTTGAAAATGTTTTTGAAGTAACTTTAAACAGTTTTTCTGTTGAAAATAGACATTAACAAAATGTTTAATCAGGGTAAAAAAATGAAAAAAGTGATTATGATTATCGGTCCTTCGGTCCTTTTTCAATAATGGCTTTTTTTATGATAATGAAAAGTGAGATTAAAGTACATGGATATTGCATCATCTGTAAAATATATAGACCATAACAAAAAGTTAACCCAATGCAAATGCCAACAAAATAGTCATAAAAACATCTCCACTTATTTTCTTTTTGAATATGCCTAGACATAAAAACTTAACCATTCATTCAAAAACCTGGTCACTTCAATTCAACTTTTGTTCAAATGTCATTGGCTGGTGTGTGGAGGTGGTAACTGCATTCTAAATCAAAGACTTAAACCTGGACCAGTGGCATATCATTCCACAGCTGAAGCTACCTGACCATTTCCTTTAAAAGCAATCAGTGCTATACTATAACACAGGGTTCCGCCACTCACCCATTATTTGAAACTAATCGTCAAATTTCTAACGAGTTGTCAGTCTGAGGGATAATTTGTAATGGCTTTTGATCGAAATGTACAACCATTTTTACTATTTATTCAGTGTCCAACACTTATATACTTACAAATCTCCAGTGAAACCTTCGGCACAGCAAACATTCAAAATGAATTGAGTCTATTAATACAATGGCCACCATTTTTACAACTTGGATTTGAACCTGTTTGGCATTTTTTCACCAAAGTTTCACATCTTGTTCCAGTGGCAAAACCTGAAAAATATATATACATGTACTAATATTAATATGTTAGATAGACCTTAATTGCTCTCCAAAATAAACGTAAAATCTAATCTGTTTATAAGTAACAGTAAGGGGTAACTTTACAAAACAAGATTGGGAAAATGTTTTCAAGCCGGTATTTTACATCTTCATTTTCACTTTAAAAATAAACATAGAAGTGTCTGGGGGGTGAGGTGTCTTGCTACCGAACATAAGTACCGTTATAGTACACATGTGAAAATAAAGAAATATGTAATGGTCATATTTACACAGAAAACGGCGAAATCATATGATAACGTAACAGAGGATATTGAACGAGTGTAGGTTCAATATTGAACTTTGAATGAGCTGTAATAAAATCATTTTAGGTGAGCCTCACCTCTGGCTTGCATTTTACCTTAGTCAATGAGTTGAATAATTCAGGAATGAAGCTACACCAATAGTATACTCAATTTATCACATACCCAAAATAAGAACTTTTTTCAGAAAAAAAAGAATCACTTTTTCATTAGCACGCTTAAAGTGTAACACTTACATTAAGCATGTCTTTGAAAATGCAATGTTTGTATAGTGTTAGTGCTATGTTTATATGGTACAAATGAAATCACATCAAATATATGCACTGATGTTTCATAACAATTTTAAGGGGTCATATATTTGTGATAAAACTAAAAAGGTGGCACTAACCTCTACAATCACAAGTGTAGGTATGTGATAAAAGGTGACACTAACCTCTACAATCACAAGTGACGGTATGTGATAAAAAGTGACACTAACCTCTACAATCACAGGTATGTGATAAAAGGTGACACTAACCTCTACAATCACAGGTATGTGATAAAAGGTGACACTAACCTCTACAATCACAAGTGACGGTATGTGATAAAAGGTGACACTAACCTCTACAATCACAGGTATGTGATAAAAGGTGACACCTCTTCAATCACAAGTGTAGGTATGTGATAAAGGTGACACTAACCTCTACAATCACAAGTGTAGATATGTGATAAAAGGTGACACTAACCTCTACAATCACAAGTGTAACCAGCAGCAGTGCTTGAACAAATTCCGTTGTTATAACAAGGATTTGATCTACAGTGATCAACTTGAGTCGAACATCTTGTTCCAAAGTATTGGCCTGTTTTAGATAAAAATAAACAAACATTTAAAGCTGAAAAGTCATTCCTGTCACAATACAATACAATATCTTATTAGCTTCATAGGCCACCAAACCAGAACAAAATATAGTTTTCAAGTAATTTGTTTACATAAGTACACAATTATATAGCAAAGTTTTGAATAAAATTTACTAAAGAAAATATAAAATAATACAAAATTTCCCTGCTATAATCATTATCATAAATAAACCTAACAGATATCAGACATTGATACCCAATGTATGTAAATACCTTTTTATCCATTTAGACATAATCATGCCATTAAGGATATTGGGGTACTAAGTTTTTCCTAGGAACAATAGACGTGCCATATTGTCATAAGGATTATATCAAAATCCCACAATTTATGACAATACCTCACTATTTCACTTTCTCAACCAACCTTGGACTATATCATATGACCTTAGCCAAATGGACCTAATTTTTTTTCCACATTTTTTTCACATAACACTATGTTTCACAATTTGGAACAATTGTAACTAGAACTGCCACTATCATGGCGTGAATACCCCCGCATACCACTTTGTCAGAATCAACAGTGGCCATTTAGAGCTCAAGGACAACCTCCCTGCCAAATCTGAGGTTACTAAGCCAGTGCATTGCTAAGTTATGTATTCTACATGCTTCAAATGTGAAAATGTCAAAATCAATACATTGCTGACAGGACATTCTTTAACAATTGAGAAGAAAAGCTTTTTTTTGTCAAGGTCCCTGTGACCTTGACCTTTGACCCAGTGACCTCAAAATCAAAAGGGGTCACCTTATAGTCATGATCAACATCCATGCCAAATATGAAGACTGTGGGTCAAAGGAATCTTAAGTTAATGGGTGGACAAACTTTTTGAAGTCAAAGTCCCTATGACCTTGACCTTTGACCCAGTGACCTCAAAATCAAAAGGGGTCATCTACTAATCATGATCAACATCCATGCCAAATATGAAGACTGTGGGTCAAAGGAATCTTAAGTTATTGGGCAGACAAGCTTTTTGAAGTCAAGGCCCCCTGTGACCTTGACCTTTGACCTGGTGACCCTCAAAATCAATAGGGGTCATCTACTAATCATGACTAACCCTCCATTCCAAATATGAAGACTGTGGGTCAAAGGAATCTTAAGTTATTGGGCAGACAAGCTTTTGGAGTCAAGGCCCCTGTGACCTTGACCTTTGACCTGGTGACCTCAAAATCAATAGGGGTCATCTACTAATCATGACTAACCTCCATGCCAAATATGAAGACTATCGGTCAAAGGAATCTGAAGTTATAGGGCGGACAAGCTTTTTAAAGTCAAGGCCCCTGTGACCTTGACCTTTGACCTGGTGACCTCAAAGTCAATAGGGGTCATCTACTGATCATGACTAACCTCCATGCCAAATATGAAGACTGTGGGTCAAAGGAATCTTAAGTTATTGGGCGGACAAGCTTTTTAAAGTCAAGGCCCTGTGACCTTGACCTTTGACCTGGTGACCTCAAATCAATAGGGGTCATCTACTAATCATGACTAACCTCCATGCCAAAATATGACGACTGTGGTCAAAGGAATCTTAAGTTATTGGGCGCGACAAGCTTTTTGAAGTCAAGGCCCCTGTGACCTTGACCTTTGACCTAGTGACCTCAAAATCAATAGGGGTCATCTACTAATCATGACTAACCTCCATGCCAAATATGAAGACTAAGGATCAAAGGAATCTGAAGTTATTGGGCGGACAAGAAAAAACCGACGGACAGCCGGACGGCCGGACGGACGGACAAGCTGATTCCAGTATACCCCCTTACAACTTTGTTGTGCGGGGGTATAATAAGTTACATGAAAAAATAACTCTCAATGCATACAGAAGTTTTGCTTTTGACAAGCATTTACGTCTGACCTCTGAATATGACCTTGTCTTTTAACCAAAGAGACACGGTTCATGGGTGGACACTATGTCTTATGGTGGTGATCATTTGTATCAAGTTAAAATGAAATCCATCCATCACAGTAGAAGATAATTATGATCCTGCAAAACCTGCTCATTTCTTCATGTCTGGTAAGTGACCTTGCATATATGAGCCGCGTCACAACAAAACCAACATAGTGTGTTTGCGACCAGCATGGATCCACACCAGCCTGCGCATCTGCCCAGTCTGATAAGGATCCATGCTGTTCGCTAAAAGACCCTATAACAAGTAAATAAACTGATGCGCAGGCTGGTCTGGAACCATATGCTGGTCGCAAACCAATTATGTTGGTTTTGTCTTGACGTGGTCCATATTTATTTGATTATGCTTGGAAGACCCAGTTTCATGACTGTGAACATTTCTTATAAAATGTAACACTACCAAACTTTCAGTACACACATTTTTATATTTTTTCCCAACTTTTACGCTCTAATTGCAATCTTGATCTTGACTGTATGGACTGAATTTTGCGCACAATACACTGGCTAACAATGGTGAACATTTGTGCCAACTTATATTAAAATCTCTCAATTCCTGTAGAAACTTTGACACAATATTCAACAAATTTGATTTTAACAATAAAATTGTTTACCTGGTGTGCAATCACATACTGGTTCATTGTTTCTAATGACACAGTTACCTCCATTTGAGCAGTAGTTATTACATAGGGTACCTGTAATATACACAATTATTGAAGCAATGGTGTATAATAAATTGTCCAATTCTGACAATCATTTAGACGTTAGTATTGTTTTATCCTTATTTACTTTTTTGGCATTTACCTCTACTTAGTGAATTAATTTAGACAATTTTTAGTTCGATATCTGATTGTGCAGAAAATTTGTAGCTTATTTGACAATATCTATTTCGATACATCATTACACAGAAAATTTATAGCTTATTTAAACTTCACTCCAGCGGGCTTCCTGGTTCTAAAAAGTATCATATGACATGACAGGGCCATGATCTGATTCGGGCTCAAACCCACAATCCCTGGGCTGAGAGGCATTTTTACAAACAGGCCAAAGCTCCACTATACTTTTTCAACTTCCGCTCCTCCTAAGCTCCCCAGGTGTATACATGCCTCTCAAATATAGCAAAGCCTCAAAAGCTAGTTAATAACCTTGCTGCCATAATATCCATGTAGTTAAACTAACTAGTCTATAATACTGCTGACTGAGCAAATTTTTAAAATATTCAAGATGATATCTCTTCAAATCAATAGATGTAATTGACAACTACAAGTCAGTTCAGTAAATTCAGCAGATCATACATCCAGTACTTACCAGCGGCAAGGCATTGGGTAGATGAAGTCAAACCAGTTTCTGTAGAATACGAGGAACTTGGTGTACATTGATTACAACTATCTTGCCCTTTCTGGGACTGATAGTGATTCCTGGGACACTGCCTACATGCTCCATTCTGATTATAACCATTGAATGAGAAATATCCTTCATCACATTTTCCTACAGAAAAAAATTTAAAAAAGAAGAAAATAAATAAACAGTAAACAGTAACAAATACAGGGCAGTTATAATAGATGGGTTTTTTTTTGTATCATCACACAAAGTAACTTCTCATATACATGTAGCAAGAGCTGTCCTTATGACAGTAGGCTTGACTATGGTCATTGCTTGACTGTTGAAAAAAGGGGCATTACTCTGCAGAATAAAGATAATTCAGAGTTATGGAACCTTTGCCCATATGTTAGAGAATCAGTGATAACAACCCATCACTTACAGTAGTTTTGAAGATGGGGGAGGGGCAGGGGAGGAAGAGAACAATAGCACACATTTCTCTTTGAATAGTAGACCTAGGACCAAAATGTCACGTTTCATATATATCAATTCAAAATCAATATATATATCCTCTATAAAAGGAATGTCACATTCTCCAGGTTACTAAAAATACTCATGTCCGCAACACTCTATAAAAGGAATGTCACTGTCTTGAAATTCTGCTGGTTCTTATTTACTATATATAACTATTTTGAATTTTTACAGCTTTACAATACAAAGATGTTACTTATACTTACTTATGCATTGTGAATCGAAAGTTGATGTAGTTGTGGCGGTTATCATATCATTATTTATACTGCAAGGCGTACAATCTGTGGCTCCGAATGTTGATGAATACCTGCCGATACCACAAGGAGTACACGGTGCCTTCCCGGTGCTTGAGTAGAATCCTGGCGGGCACTTGGCTGATTAAAAAAAATTCTTATTTATAAATATATATCACTGTTTGAAAGTAGGATAAATATAAAATAAGACAGTACAGTATTGATACATCACATTGTTGGCTTTGATAAATAATTTCGAAGCAGCAAACTTTAAGACTCGGTTATATGAAATCTTTTCAAATGGAAATATGTCAAAGGTGATCTCAACTGAGCCAAATGACCATCATTATAATACTTCATGATGTTAGTTAAGACAATATTCATTTGTCAATCATTACATTTACATTACCAGTATATACTTGGCCGAAGCAAAGTTACAAATAATTTTCAGTTTTGAAAAAAAAAAAATCAATTTGACAGGTTAGGCCTAAAAAAAATTGTTTTTGTTAGGGTTACACTACCCTACCAAAGAAAATAAGCCTGACCCTACCATTTTTATTTAGATCTGTTAAAAAAAAAAACTAGAAATGTGTCCATAGGACACGGGTGCCCCCACCGTGCCACTGTTCTGTCAATCTTATGACTCCAGGTCAAATATTTTTTGAAAGCTAAAAATCTTTACCTAAGTAAAGGGCAAGAACTTTACAAATACTGAATAAATCCACAAGCAAACCCCAAGGTGCACAAGTACACATGCTGACCAACATTCTTGTAAACTTTCAGGCCTACAAGTCAAATACTTTTTAAGCTGAGCAACCTTCCCGTAAGGTTTAATGACTCTATGTCAAATCCTTTTTGAGTTACATGCGACACAAGTTGAAAATTGAAAAAATTTTCAAAGTCAAGGGCAATAACTCTAAAAATACTAAATAAATCCAGACAAAAATACCCAGGTGCACAACTACATATGCTGATTAATATTCCTGTAAAGTTTCATGACTCTAGGTCAAATACTTTTTGAGTTAGGTGCGACACAAAAGAGAACGGGCGGACAGACGGACGAACGGACAATGGTAAATCTAAATGCCGCCACTGAAGTGGGGGCACAAAAAAATATTGCAAAATTAAAGTGTGTTTAGAAATCATGTTCTTGTACCATCAGGGGACATTATCGGAAGTTTCATTGCTAAGGTATAATTGAATATAATGAATAGTTAATCAGGCATAGTAACCACGAGTCTTCCTTTATGAAAATGAGCCAATTTTTAAATACCCAACACCATAACATAACATAACATAACATATTCTTTTTTTGGCATAAAATGACAATACACATTTATAGCCAAAACAGTAAACAATCATGTAATGTAAGAACATGATATAAAATATAAATACCTTAACGAATTTCAATGTTTTACAGAGAAAGTTCTTGTTGCTACAAAATTTGAAAAAATACCAAACACCAATCAATACCATACAAATCAGAAAATGAACATTTTCTCTGGATCAAGATGTTCAAAAAAATTCTACCTACCCTATTCTTTTAGAGCATGTTACCCTAACAACACAATTATTTTTTTTTGGCCTTATATGGAATAATTTCTATCCATTCTTGTGAAGTGGAAGGTAATACGAGACAATGACCACTTTCTCCTAGATGCCCCTCAATATTTCTACAGGATATAATTCATAATAAAAAAATTTCATGCAACTTTATTCAGACTACTATAAATGTACTTACATCTGCACATAGTTCTTGCTGTAGCACCAGCAAAGAAAGTTGTATCAGTAGCAGGACAGGAGGTACAAGAACCTTCCTCATTTGAGTTGTATGTTCCCTCAGCACAGTTTACACACTGGCTATTTATATCTCTTGAGGTACCTCTTGGGCACTTTACTAAAATCAAGAGATTAACAATATTATTATATATTTCCCTTAGCACAGTTTACACACTGGTTATTTATATCTTCTGAGGTACCTCTTGGGCACTTTACTAAAATCAAGAGATTAACAATATTATTATATATTTCCCTTAGTACAATTTACACACTGGCTATTTAGATCTTTTGAGGTACCTCTCGGGCACTTTACTAACATCAAGAGATTTATAATTTTATTATATATTTCCCTCAGCACAGTTTACACACTGGCTATTTATATCTCTTGAGGTACCTCACTGACAGTTCATATTAAAATTTTTTTCTAGTTTCTACCGCCACTCATGAAATATTTATTTTCATACCACTCGATGAAAATAAATCATGTATTTATAGAAAAACCTTGAATATCCTCTATATGTATACAATATTTTCGCTGTTAATTAACTAAAGGAAAATAAATGCTTGTAAAAATATAAAAAATTTATTTCAGTACAGATACATATATATTAGGCACACATTTGAATGGGAATAGCCCCAAGGGTTTATAAATTTATTAAGAATTACACTTATTTTGATTTCTTTCATTTTCTATTGGGTATAATGACTTGCACCAACAATTTAGTATACAGGTCATATGGCAACTTTCCAGCTTTAATAATGGAGGAAGACCTCAGGTGTCCCTCATGTGCCTCTCAGCTGCCCCTCTGTATATTAGCTTTAAAATGGAGGAAGACTTCCGGTGCCCCTCTGTGCATTATTTCAGGACTACACCTACTTATTTTTATTTTCCTGTTTTTTTAATATTTGTTAAATACTACTCACTTCTGAGTGAACTGATCTCGACACAAGGATACTGCCCGGCATATGTTGTTGTAAAACCTGTTGGACAGGTTTCACATTGTGTTGAACTTACAGAATACTGACCAATAGGACAGGCTGTACATGGAGCTAAACCTGTTGAAGATGTAAACCCTTGTCTACATGTTGCTGAAAATATAGAGAAAAGAAATATATCAGTACAGTAAACTCACAAGTTTACTTAAACTTTAAAGTAGAAATTCCCACTTCCACACCCCTAAGAATGAAAGGGGCGTTTCAGTATGTACAACTGATTAGCATATGACCACTCTTCCAAGCGCAATTTACTATCTTAATTCGTCTTCTTTATCATAAATTTAATATATCTAACCAACACTTTTATTCTCTACATTAGGCACTAACCAAGTACACCCAAAATTGTCTATTCTACACACTTTCAAAAGCACTTTCTTTAAACAGCATATAAACACACTTACCTTGAGCTTTTTTTACCAACAGGTAAATTATATATTTTAGACACTTACCATAGCATTGACTACTTGATGTTGCTCCTCTAATATAAGTACTTGTCCCAGCTACTGGACAAACTACACAGGTGTTGGATAATGTGTTTACACTTCTGTATGTACCTATTTGACATGGTTCACAGGTGTTGCCATTCAGCTGAGTCCCTATTGTGCATGGTACTGCAAAAATTGAAATCAAAGTAGCTACAAGTAACGTATCAAAATTATGTTAAAATACTTGATTTACATTTTTTGGTGTTACCTTTCAGTTGAACAGTATTGGAGTTTTATTCCTATGGGTAATTGTCTAACAAGTGTTCATGGGTTTCGTAACAATAATACTCAACTGTTTTTTTCTGAAATTAACTGCCAACAACTCCACATAAATCATTTTAAAAACCTATAGTAGATGAATTCCATTAGATGTACTGAAGTTTGTCCATCAAATTAGCATGGATACATGCACCCTTCCTTGGTTTATACACATAAAACTGACAAAAATAGACCTAAAGAATTTATTACTGAGCTTCTTTTTTTTTGGCTGGGCTTTACATCACACCAACACGGTATAGGTCCTTTGGCTACTTTTGCAGTTTTGCTGTAGGAGGAAGACCTTGGATGACCTATGTTTCATTATTTCAAACAATAACCGGTACTGGATTCTTACTCACAGCCATCAGAGGGGCAAGTGGTTTGTAGTCAATGACCTTAACTACTTGGCCACGGATGCATTACTACGCTAAATGGGCAAGTTTTCTCAATTTTTATACCCTAATCCAAATGTTGTTGTCTCAAAACATGGATTTCGTAATAACTACACATGCCTTTTATCTTTGATTTATACCTATAGCTGTCCCTAGTTTCTTCAGAATTATAACAAAAAACATACAAATGTGATGTCACATCAAAACTTCATCTCCTTTTCCAGCAAAATAAAACAAAATATAATTCATTGCTATATATAAATATATACAGAAATATGTAAAACTGACATAGAATAAAAACATTCTTTTTTAGGTATTAAGAACATCATTGGAAAAGAAAAATGTATACAAAATATTTACCATCATCGATAGTACTAGATACACAAGCATCTATGCTAGTGGCGCCATCTCCATTTGTCGTCTGCCCAAATCCACAAGACTGACATGTCAAACTGTCAGATCTGTAGCTACCTTTCTGGCAAGTTAAACAGGGACTAAATCCAGTTGTAGAAATTGATCCAGTACAAGGGGCTGTTAAAAAATGATAGGCATTTTATAAAATAAGTACTTGATGATTATGTTTAAAATCTAAATCAATGAAATGTTGATGGTTTGATTCTAAAAATGATAACAAATTCATAGGAATTTAAAAAGTTAAGAAAGGGGAATAATTCAGTAAAATTCTGGTACAGGGCAGAGTTATGGGTGTTGGTTCTCCATTTATGATAGTCAAGACATGCATGAAGTTTTTATTTAATATTTTTATTATTGTAGACCTAGAACTTACATTAAAAACCCTTGTTAGGAATTTGTATATTTCACAAGGGAGGGCAACTCTGTGAAGATTTAATCTCTTGCTACAGTTATAGGCTTAAAATTATTACCTAGAAGATATTCATGAAATTTCAAGGAGAAATTCCTGTGGTAAATAATATATGAAGTTGCAAGCAAAATCTTTAAAGCATGTCTCCCTTTCCAAGGTGAGTAAACATTTGTTGAGTTAAAGTCCAGTTGGAAATACTTGTTAGAAACTTATATAAAGTTTAAATAGCCCATAAAAACAATACTTTAAAATTGAAAATGGCAGAACATAAGCAGTACATACCGATACACGATCCACTATTTAAGGCACCGGGATATCTTGTTGTATAACCAGTGGGGCATTGAATGCATGAAGCATCTGCATAGTTCCTGTATGTACCTTTTGGGCATATTGAGCAAAATTCTCCGTTAGACTGCGTGCCAGATGGACATCGGACTGTAAACATTAGAAGATGTAACCAAGTTATCATACAAATGATGACAGGATTAAAAATGCAATGATTAACAATATTACCAAGAAGAATAATTAAGAATTCAATAATACAATTATTTGATAGAAAATCCAATAAAGTCAGTCTGGTATGGAAAACCAATAAAATAAGTCTTGGATAGAAAATCGAATAAATAAGTCTTGGATAGAAAAATCAAATTAAATAAGTCTCGGATAGAAAAAAACAATAAAATAACTGTTGGATAGAAAATCGAATAAATAAGTCTTGGATAGAAGAATCGAATCAAATAAGTCTCGGACAGAAAAAAAATATAATAAAATAAGTCTTGGATAGAAAAACCAACAACATAAATCTTAACACTTGTGTTAAACTTGTCAAATTAAGGGTTCCTGGCAAAACCAATCTGAGTTCTTTGTTTTAATTATACCCTGGAAATTTTAATGTCTATTTTTTGGGGAACTATTAACAAATTGCTAAAATTGGGAAAATGTATTTACAGACAAAACAAAGTTTTTAGAAAAAGTTTAACACTGAAAATGTTGAAAGTATGAAAGTATCAATAAAGGTTGATTACTAATAATGCAACAATAAATTGTTCCTCAAAAAACAAGCTATTGTAGTTAGCTGTATTTTTGTTTTTACATTTAAATCTTTCAAATTATTCACTCTTATGATATTATACAACACTTGAATGTGACTGTCCAATAATTAACTGTAGATCTCCTAAATTCTAAGTCAATTTATTCCAGATAGATCTATCAAAAGTTGTCAGCAGTCGTCATTTTTGCATTTCCTTTAGAAAAATTTTATAGCTATAATCTGAGAATTATTTTCTGAAATTTGGAAAAATTATCCATAACTCAACCATTGGCATATATATAATTACAAAAAATTTATTTTACACACAATGGTCTTGCGTTACTACACCTCAAGAGCTACTTACCACATTGTTCATTATTAGTAAGGGACGCAAAAAATGGTGCGGCACAGAATAACCCCCGGCCTGCGCCTTCAGCTACCTGATCCCATTTTAACTCCGGACAGTTTCCACTGGCTGGAATATTACCACTCAAAGGATAAGTGTTGCCGATTCCATCAATATCATTGAGGAATGAGGTCGCACACTTCTCATATATAGAAGTGTCGCTATAAACTATGGTGTAGGAAAAAATCATTTCAACCTACAAGGGAAAAAAAGATTCTATAACAAGTACATGTACCAGAATAAAAACAACTTTTAGGTGTGTCTTATAAGTGATTGTGTCTAAAAGTGAGTGTGTCTTATAAGTGAGTGTGTCTTATAAGTGAGTGTGTCTTATAAGTGAGTGTGTCTTATAAGTGGGTGTGTCTTATAAGTGAGTGCATCTTATAAGTGAGTGTGTCTTATAAGTGAGTGTGTCTTATAAGTGAGTGTGTCTTATAAGTGGGTGTGTCTTATAAGTGAGTGTGTCTTATAAGTGGGTGTGTCTTATAAGTGAGTGTGTCTTATAAGTGGGTGTGTCTTATAAGTGAGTGTGTCTTATAAGTGAGTGTGTCTTATAAGTGGGTGTGTCTTATAAGTGAGTGTGTCTTATAAGTGGGTGTGTCTTATAAGTGAGTGTGTCTTATAAGTGGGTGTGTCTTATAAGTGAGTGTGTCTTATAAGTGGGTGTGTCTTATAAGTGAGTGTGTCTTATAAGTGGGTGTGTCTTATAAGTGGGTGTGTCTTATAAGTGGGTGTGTCTTATAAGTGGGTGTGTCTTATAAGTGGGTGTGTCTTATAAGTGAGTGTGTCTTATAAGTGGGTGTGTCTTATAAGTGAGTGTGTCTTATATAAGTGAGTGTGTCTTATAAGTGGGTGTGTCTTATAAGTGAGTGGGTCTTATAAGTGAGTGGGTCTTATAAGTGAGTGTGTCTTATAAGTGAGTATGTCTAATAAGTGAGTATGTCTAATAAGTGAGTCCGTTTTATAAGTTGGTATATCTTATAAGTGAGTGCCTCTTATAAACAAGTGAGTCTTAAAAGCAAGTATATACAGTAATTTGTAATACACGTTACAATAAGCAGTTGTAACAAAATCTTCAGTTTAAGATAAACAAGAGGGCCATGATTGCCCTGAGGTCGCTCACCTGTATATAGGCCCCCCAACCCCCACCCCCAACGTTGCAGGGCCAATTTAACCCAAGGGCTTTCATTTGCACAAACTTGGTAGACACCCATAAGAAGATGTTTCATGCTAAACATCTAAGCTCTAGCTCATTGGGCTTTTTAAAAGAAGATTTTTTTTAAGTTTTTACTATACACATATAGTTAAAAACAATGACACCCCTGGGGCCGAGCCAGTTTTGACCCCAGGACTTTTATTTGAACAAACTTTGTAGACACTTACTAGAAGATGTTTCATGCTTAATATCTAAACTCTAGCTATTTGGGTTTTTTCAAAGAAGATTTTAAGTTTTTGCTATACACATATAAAGAAAATCAATGACCCCTGGGGCGGGGCCAATTTTGACCCCAGGTCTTTTATTTGAACAAACTTTGTAGACACTCACTAAAAGATGTTTCATGCTTAATACCTTAACTCTAGCTATTTGGGTTTTCTCAAAGAAGATTTTTTAAGTTTTTGCTATACACATATAAGGAAAATCAATGACCCCCGGGGCGGTGCCAATTTTGACCCCAGGGCTTTTATTTGAACAAACTTGGTAGACACCTATTAGAACATGTTTGATGCTAAATATCTTAGCCATTGCTCTTTGAGGTCTTTAAAAGAAGATTTTTTAAGTTTTTACTATATGCATACAGGGAAAATCAATGACCCCCCGGGGCGTGGCCAATTTTGACCCCAGGGCTTTTATTTGAACAAACTTGGTAGACACTTATTAGAACATGTTTCATGCTAAATATCTTAGCTCTAACTCTTTTGGTTCTTAAAAAGAAGATTTTTTAAGTTTTTACTATATGCATATAGGGAAAATCAATGACCCCCCGGGGCGGGGCCAATTTTGACCCTAGGGCTTTTATTTCAACAAACTTGATAGACACTTATTAGAACATGTTTCATGCTAAATATCTTAGCTCTAACTCTTTTGGTTCTTTAAAAGAAGATTTTTTAAGTTTTTACTTTATGCATATAGGGAAAATCAATGACCCCCCGGGGCGGGGCCAATTTTGACCCCAGGGCTTTTATTTGAACAAACTTGGTAGACACCCATTAGAACATGTTTGATGCTCAATATCTTAGCCATAGCTCTTTGAGTTCTTTAAAAGAAGATTTTTTAAGTTTTTACTATATGCATATAGGGAAAATCAATGACCCCCCAGGGCGGGGCCAATTTTGACCCCAGGGCTTTTATTTGAACAAATTTGGTAGACACTCACTAGAAGATGTTTCATGCCAAATATCTAAGCTCTAGCTCTTATGATTTTTTAAAAGAAGATATTTAAAGTTTTTTCTTTCGGTTGCCATGGCAACAAGAGTTCTGAATGGAATTAAATTCTTTGAACAATTTTAAAAGGTGACCACCAAAGGAACATTCCTGTGAAGTTTGGATGAAATTGGCTTAGTGGTTTATGAGGAGATGTCATTTAAAGTAAGAGTTTACGGACGGACGACGGCCGGACGCCGGACGAAAAGCGATCACAAAAGCTCACCCTATCACTTTGTGACAGGTGAGATAAAAATTGCCATTGGTTAAAAAATATGTTCATTTATGGGTAGAGCAGTAATTGTTAGTTCAAATCCCAGTAAGCAATGATGCATTTACCCAGCCTTTTCCTGGCCATTTTAAGAAAAACCACCTTGCCCAGTTTGGGAAATTTTGTGTTGTAAAATTGCTTAACTTAGAAAAAATATATGGTACTTTTTTTGCAACTTTTTCTTACTCAAGTACCTGCCAGTGCATAATATTATTAAATTCATAACAGAACACCCTAGTCCATCTGCCATGAGTAACACTGGAATGATGCCGTATGACATTTACATACAACCTATATACTAAAAACATTTGAAATATAGACGATATTGGATGGATGTAAATTTAACACTAAATTTATTGAACAAGTTGAATAAAATCATATTATGCAAGCCTCTGGCAAGCATAATATTGTTTAATTCAAAGCCAAGTTCAATGCTAATATAAGTGTGCTTTAATGCTATGTTTGTACATGTATATAGCAAATGACATCACATGAAAGTGTTATTTCAGTACTGTAATATTGATTTTATTAAATGGCTTTATTACACTCCTGGAGCTTGGTTTATGCGAAAAAACACATTAAGAGCACCGCTAGGCGGAGCATCATATGCCCGAAAGTGATTTTTTTTTTTAGTAAAGATGAAGCATTTGTAAGACAGGGGAGTAAAATAAAGTATTACCTCCTTCAAATAACAATCCTCCTTTGAAGTTTCAATATTTTAATCTTTGCTTAAATGACATCAGTTTAGATTCTCTATGATAATGAAAATATAATAAACTGATCTGATCTGAAATGAAACTTACCGTTCTTCCATTAGTTTGAATAGTCACGTCGGTGCTATCTGGTAGGAACGAAAGTACAAAGTCTGCATTGAATGGACCGTAATTGTTATCGCAAGAATTTTTCAGACGTGTTGTCATTCTGTCTAGGATTGAGGGTGCACCAGCCGACAATGTAGTTTTATAGCCTGTTATACATGATTGTGGAATGCTGGTAATTGAAGTGCTTTCTGGTACATATTCATACCTCATTTTCCCAATGAACTGTTTACTTGTAGTATCATCATCTGTATAACAAATATAACAATAATTACGACCAATGAGCACTCTGACAAGCATAGTCATCCATAGTTACAGATAAACTAAAAATATTTCCATTCCATTCAAAAATTCTTAAAGATAAAATTCGACATAAATCCTAAGATAGAACTTTCAAAATTATGACACTTGTCCAACCACTACACATTGTCATGATAAGCAAGTTTCATGTTGATACCTTTAGAAATGTTTGAACTAATGTGTCAAACAATGTGTTACATTAAAGTTTTTGAACAACCACAAAAACCATGGTGGTGGTGTTGTTAGTTTACCCTCCAGATCACCACAGGGAGCCACTCTGAATTTACCAGAGCACAGGTCAGCACTCGCATTGTTCTTGGGTAAGTTGTCAAGCCTTTTACCAGTGTTTGTTGCCTTCACAAGAAACTAATAACTTCTGTACATACCAGAGCAGAGGTACAGTGCAAATGACTGTAGAAAGGATTTCATGAACAATCACAATAAAGATTTCATGATCAATCACAACTAAAGTGACCTGGGACATCCAGGAATTGAACCCGGGTCACCCAATTCACATTCCAACGCTTTACCTAATGACCTAATCAAAAGGCTTCCACAAAGACGATGCCACAGCAATCATAATAGCTTAACTTTGTCTTGAAACAGGCACAAGCTAGAAATGAAAGCATGTAGGTAAATTTTTAATTCTCTACAAGTTTTGTAGTAAGTTGTATCTTTATTTATCAATTTATATATACAAACTTACCACGTGCACAATCAGGTATGTAAGTGTTAAAGTCTCCGCCATTTATACAGGATGATGTGATGGTATTTTGTGTTGTCGAGTAGAAGGAATAGTTAGGATTACAGGTGAGCTCGCATGACCATCCATTAAATGTTTCAGTGCAAGCTTTAGCTCCATTAGCTGGTGTAGGTAACGCCAATGGTGAGCATTCCTCAGCTTAAAAAAAAACAATGTTAGAATACATGTAATTGGTTAATGAGAAAATATATACATGTATATCCAATTATCGCACAATTCACAAGATTGACAAGGCAGAGCAAATTTCACAGAACACCCTCCCACCCCCAACAAGATCCAGTCTCACAGGACCACCTTAAAAAGTTTTCTGTAATTATATATTTTGTACAGTCAAATAAAATGAAATAAAGTCTGGTATATCACACTTAAAATTGGATTATATTGTATAATTTGCTAAGAAAACATGTTTCAAACTGAATATTTAAAACACCATAAAGCTTTTAGTATAGAATTACTAATAAAATGTTTAAAAAATTTAACTATTCAATTTGTTTGTAAATGACAACAAGATTAGAGTGCTTAATAACAGTCTACTGATTTAAGTTATTTATGTTAAAACTGGTGAAAGAAAACACCCACCGTTATCACATTGCATTACTTAAAGACCCCCCCCCCCTGCCATGCCAACATTCCTCAAACGAAAGTCCTTAAAGTAACTAACTAACAGCTAATTGCATGACAGAAATTGGCACTACAAAGTATTTTCTGAGTCCAATAAAAGCAGTGGTTATCAGAAACAATTATATGTGACAAAGATAACTAATAAATAACTTTCAAATAATTTTTTCAAATGTTTCATGGAGCATGAATTTTCATGTAACCTGAATTTGTAAAAAAGACTAAATAAATAAATTCTGACAATGTGTCTGTTTACCTATAATTGCCACCTGAAATGAACACACTGAAGGATTTCCTGCATTGTCAGTAACTGTAAGGGATATTTGTCTCACTGTATTTAGTGCATTAAAGTTAACATCAATGAAGGCCGGTTGATATGATCTGCTAGCAATACCACTGAGGTCAGTTGCAGTTCCAGCATATTTAGCATCATTAGCAAAAACAATCCTCCTTTCATCATCTCCTGTTGTAATTCTTTCATATGCAGAAGTTGGGCAAGCCAGAGTTGGTCCGGCATTATCTAAAAATAGAGCAAACAATGTTCATTTACACATGGCATAGTGACTTTATGCAGAGATAGTTTAACTAACAACCACTAAATGCTGCTAATGGCATAACTTAAAACCGCTAAATGCTAGTTATGGTTTAGCTTACAACCACTAAATGTTTGTGATGGTATAACTTAAAACCACTAAATGCTAGTGATGGTATAACTTAAAACCACTAAATGCTAGTGATGGTTTAACTTACAACCACTAAATGCTAGTGATGGGATAACTTAAAACCACTAAATGCTAGTGATGGTATAACTTACAACCACTAAATGCTAGTGATGGGATAACTTAAAACCACTAAATGCTAGTGATGGTATAACTTAAAACCACTAAATGCTAGTGATGGTATAACTTTTAACCACTAAATGCAAGTGATGGTATAACTTACAACCACTAAATGCTAGTGACGGTATAACTTACAACCACTAAATTCAAGTGATGGTTTAACTTACAACCACTAAATGCTAGTGATGGTATAACTTACAACCACTAAATACTAGTGATGGTATAACTTACAACCACTAAATGCTAGTGATGGTATAACTTACAACCACTAAATGCTAGTGATGGTAAAACTTACATTCACATAATGCTGGTAATGGTATAACTTACAATCACTAAATGCTAGTGATGGTATGGTTAACCAGCACTGAAAACTGGTGATGGTATTACTTTATACTAGTAAAAGCAATTGTGGCATAACTTTCCACCTTATTATGCTAGAGATGGTATGACTTACCACCACTAATTTACAACCATCATATGCTGGGAATGACTTAACCTACCACTTTGATTTGTTAGTGATGGAATGTATTACCAGAACTTCATACTTGTGATGGCATAACTTACCACCACTGAATGCTTTTTATCTGAATACCACTGAAGGCTAGTGATGATATGATTTACCATCAATGAAGGCTAGTGATGGTATGACTTATCACTAATGAAGGCTAGTGATGGTATGACTTATCACTAATGAAGGCTAGTGATGATATGACTTACCACTAATGAAGTTTAATGATGATATGATTTACCACAAATGAAGGCTAGTGATGGTATGACTTACCACTAATGAAGGCTAGTGATGATATGACTTACCACTAATGAAGTTTAATGATGATATAATTTACCACAAATGAAGGCTAGTGATGATATGACTTACCACTAATGAAGGCTAGTGATGGTATGACTTACCACTAATGAAGGCTAGTGATGATATGACTTACCACTAATGAAGTTTAATGATGATATGATTGCCACAAATGAAGCTAGTGATGATATGACTTACCACTAATGAAGCTAGTGATGGTATGACTTATCACTAATGAAGGCTAGTGATGATATGACTTACCACTAATGAAGGCTAGTGATGGTATGATTTACCAATAATGAAGGCTAGAGATGATATGATTTACCACTAATGAAGGCTTGTAATGATATGACTTACACTTATGATGGCTAGTGATGATATGACTTACCACTAATGAAGGCTAGTGATGGTATGACTACCACTAATGAAGGCTAGTGATGGTATGATATGATTTACCATCAATGAAAGCTACTTATGATATGACCCACCACTAATGAATGCAAGTGATGATATGACTTCAGTTACAATTAATGAAGGCTATAAATGATATAACTTACCACTAATAAAGGCTAGTGATGATATTACCATCAATGAAGATAAGATTTGATATGACTTGACATCATCAAAGGCTTGTGACCCTATCACTTACCATCAGTGAAGGCTAGTGATTAGAGTGAAATTTTATAAAACAGCAACTTTACTTATAATATCATAATACTATAATAATTATTATTCTAGTCCTGATGATTATCTAACCGAAACAAAAGATGATTCTTCTATTACTTAAATGCTATCAAGATCATAATATATCATCTAAAAATGTTTTGAGTTGTATACAAACCTGTTTTATCGGCTGCAGCCTATGATCTGAAGCATGTTATATTGATCATGTTAAAGAATGGTTAAAATGACAGGATAAGGACGATACAGTACGACAATACAGTCTGAACATCATACTGTCTAGAAATTTGAACTTACCATCAATACATATTGGAAATATGTCACTATTAGACCATGATTGTCCATCATTGCAGCTCACTGTTGTTGAAGCACCAACATTTCTTAGAATTTTACCAGAGTTACATGTAATTGTAACATCCCAACCAGCAGATCGTGTACTTGTTGCTGCACGTCTTGTACCAGAAATACTTCCATCGATAGGTGCAAGAAGAGACAGCTCAGAGCATACAGGGGCTGTTCAAATAAAAAGAAAAACTCAGAGCATACAGGGGCTGTTCAAATAAAAAAAAGAAAAACTCAGACCATACAGGGGCTGTTCAAATAAAAAAAGAAAAACTCAGAGCATACAGGGGCTGTTCTAATGTCACAGCAGACAGCCAAGCTCGACTAATAAAATACTGGACGCAGTAAGGAGGACAAAACTATGAAAGAAAAATCAATTATGTATAATTATGTATTAAGTTATAGTAAAAAAATAACATTTGTTAACATAAATTCCAAGATCAAGGGGAATAATTCTAGAAATAGTCATGCTAGAGTTATGGACCTTGCCACACAACATTTGTGTAATGATAAGAAATATATATTTGAAGTTTGAAGTAGATACCTTAAAAGGTAAAGAAGTTATTATATTTCTTAAAGAAAATCCTAAGTTCAAAGAGAGATAAATCTGTTAATATTGCTTCAAGAGTTATGAACATTGTCACATAAAATGTAATTGATGAGAAGGAATAAGTATTTGAAGTTAGAGGTAGATACCTTTAAAAATAAAAAAGTTATAATAAAAAATAACATTTTTCTAGTAAAAAAAAAAAGTTTATGGGGAGATAATTCTTGCAATATTGGTGCTAGAGTTATGAACCTTGTCACATAAGATGTGGATGATGATAACGTAAATATATTTGAAGTATGAAGTTGAACCCTTTAGAAATAAATAAGTAACAGTAAAAAATAATATTTTCTATGGAAAATTCTAAGTTCAAAGGGAGATAAATCTGAAAATATTGGTGCTAGAGTTATGAACCTTGTCACATTAGATGGGGATGATGATAAGGTAAATATATTTGAAGTATGAGGTTGATCCCTTAAGAAATAAAGAAGAAACAGTAAGAAATAGTATTTTTTGAGGAAAATTCTAAGTTCAAGGGGAGATAAATATGAAAATATTGGTGCTAGAGTTATGAACCTTGTCACATAAGATGGGGATGATGATAAGGTACATATATTTGAAGTATGAGGTTGATCCCTTAAGAAACAAAGAAGTAACAGTAAAAAATAGTATTTTTTAAGGAAAATTCTAAGTTCAAGGGGAGATAAATCTGAAAATATTGGTGCTAGAGTTATGAACCTTGTCACATAAGATGTGGTTGATGACAAGGATCATATATTTGAAGTTTGAAGTTGATACCTTAAGAAATGACAAAGTTATAGTGAAAAATATTTTACTGCACCAAAACTTTAATCTAAAATCTGGACGCGGACGTGGACGCCGACGCCGGGGCGAGTAGGACAGCTCTCCATATACTTCGTATAGTCAAGCTAAAAATTAGGTCAAACTTTTCAATGTCTAAAATTTCAAGTTTCTACATCAGTTTAAAAGTTATATGAAGATATGTTGACCTAACTGTACTATTTCAGTAAAAGAAACTAAAACCTTGATACATTCCAAAGTAAATATAATTTTTGTCAGATTTTAACTCACACTGACTCCTTAAAGGTGAAATGGCAAAGTTCTTGCTTTAATGCTGAAGGAAGTCATCAGAGGCCCCTCAGTGCAAAATTGCATTATTTCTGGTGAATTTAGGCTCTTTTAAGATGAACAACAAACCTTATGTAAGCTATCTAGTTCTTCACATAAAATGATGCAAATTTCAAAAAAGTATTCAAACTTAAAATAGTAAAAAATGTGAGGGATCTGAGATTCAAAGTTTGCATGTTTCAACACTCTGACAAAAAAGATTTTCATCTACATGTAATTCTATATTAAAAATGACTTGAAAACAGTTTAACTTATTTCCCTAAAACTTGAACTTCATGTCATTTATGGAAAATAAAGTTAACAGCTTCTTTTAGCTCCCATGCACCTTAAAATTTCCAATCTCCCTCACAGTAAACCATTCAAAATGTTTGTGGCAGGAATCAAACACACAATGTTGAGGTGCAAGAGGTATACTTAATTCAACAGCGCTAGCTACTCAAACATAAAGAACCTCTCGCACCCAACCCTTCACCCCTTTTTCACTCATACAACAAACCCAAACCCATACACATGCCCACAAACAAACCCATACATGTGCCCATACCCAAACCCATGCACATACACACAAACCCATGCACATGCCCACAAACAAACCCATACATGTAGGCATACCCAAACCCATGCACATACACACATACCCATGCACATATACAAACCAATGCACACACACAAGCCAATGCACATACACACACAAACCAATGCACATACACACACAAACCAATGCACATACACACACAAACCAATGCACATACACACACAAACCAATGCACATACATGCACACACAAACCATGTACATACATAACCACACAGGCACAAACACTTTACAAAGAAAAAATATGAAAGGTACTTACGAACAGCTGTATAATCAAAACTGCAGGACCCAGTGTTTCCTGCTGTATCTGTCACTTGAACTATTACCACCTTTGGTCTGTACAGATCTGTCTCAGTAAATGTATATTTCTCCGGAATAAATTGTGCATTACCATATGTGTTTAAATCATTTACACCAACTGAATTTCCAAGATTGGTCGCAAAATCAAATTCAAAAGTTTCACCTCTTTGGTCTAGATTAGAAATTGTGGATGACGATGGACAAGAAACAACCGGTGAAGTTACATCTGTGAAAAAACAAAAAGAATATGACATATAAGTAAAGTAGGCAATTCTGTCACGAGCTTAAATTTGTAGACTTATTATGACATGAATATAGCAATCATTATCACAATGTCTTTTCAAGTGGTGCAATAAATAGGGCTAACTTGTATTGAAATACATTGCAAAACAGTCATTGCAATACATTCAATTTGATTGTGATTAAAAAAAAACAACATTCTATTTATCTTTTGAATGATAAAAACTCTAAAAACAATCTTCCTCTTAAAACGTTTGACAGATAAATGTACAGAAATGTATTCAACACTTTGAAGTCTTTGTCTAACACAAAAATAAAGGAAATTTTGCAGTATAAAATAAGAATGAAATGGTAAATATGATAAACAGGTATTCAATCAATGATATACAAGTATTAAAACAATGGTATACCAGTATTCAAACAATGATATACCAGTGTTAAAACAATGGTATACCGGTATTCAAACAATGATATACCAGTGTTAAAACAATGGTATACCGGTATTCAAACAATGATATACCAGTGTTAAAACAATGGTATGCCGGTATTCAAACAATGATATACCAGTGTTAAAACAATGGTATACCAGTATTCAAACAATGATATACCAGTGTTAAAACAATGGTATACTGGTAATCAAACGATGATATACATGTATCAAACAATGATATACTGGTACCAGATTTAAAACAATGGTGTAACGTTATTCAAATGATGATATACAGGTATCAAACAATGATATACAAGTATTAAAACTATGGTATACCCGTATTCAAACAATGATATACCAGTGTTAAAACAATGGTATACTGGTATTCAAATGATGATATACATATATCAAACAATGATATACTGGTATTTAACAATGATATACTGGTATTCAAACAATGAAATACCAGTATTAAAACAATAGTATAAAAGTGTTAAAACATTGATGATATACCAGTATTTAAACAATGATATACCAGTATTCAAACAATGATATACTGGTATTCAAACAATGATATACCAGTGTTAAAACAATGATATACTGGTATTCAAACAATGATATATCAGTATTCAAACAATGATATACCAGTATTCAAACAATGATATACCAGTATTCAAACAATGATATACCAGTATTCAAACAATGATATACCAGTATTCAATCAATGATATACGGGTATTCAAACAATGATATACCGGTATTCAATCAATGATACACGGGTATTCAAACAATGATATACCAGTATTCAAACAATGATATACCAGTTTTCAATCAATGATATACAGGTATTCAAACAATAATATACCGGTACCAGTATTAAATCAATGGTGTAACGGTAATCAAATGATGATATACAGGTATCAAACAATGATATACAAGTATTAAAACAATGGTATACCGGTATTCAAACAATGTTATACCAGTGTTAAAACAATGGTATTCTGGTAATCAAATGATGATATACATGTAATAATTTTACATGATTATCATCATTTAATTAACAGAATACCATTGTTTTAACACTGGTATAACATTGTTTGAATACCCGTATACCATTGTTTTAATCAATGATATACTGGTATTCAAACAATGAAATACCAGTATTAAAACAATGGCATACCAGTGTTAAAACATTGATGATGTACCGGTATTTAAACAATGATATACCAGTATTCAAACAATGATATATGGTATTAAAACGTATAAAGAAAGAAGAATCATAGAACATTTGTACAATGAAACAAAATCAATACCTCTCACACATGCTGGTATCCAAGGAGTGTTGCCCCAACTTCCGCTAGAACATTGTACTGTTTTTGTCTTACCATCTTCAAATGTGTACAAATCATCACATGTTAATACACATGTCCTTGTATTTCCACTGAAAGTGCATTCCTTCTTAGCATTTAGAGGGGTGGGGTAAGAGATCTCACTACAAGGTCGTGCTGAAACACAAACAATTTTAATACTTAATCTATTTAAATGCAGACAGGATTTTCTGACAAAATATTTATATAATTATATGTTATTAAACATACATGTATATCCCAACCTTAGTGCAGTAGAAAATTAACTCCTTAAATAATTCAATAGACATAAACTTGTTATGGCTCTAATGTGACATGATGGCAACCTTTTCAAAAATGCTATTATAATCACAAAAATAAATTATTTTTATTTAATTTTTATTATCTTTTTTTAGGGGGGTCAATAAAGTTCATAGGAAAGGAACTTCCAAGCTTTACTGGTGGAAGAAGACCTCAGACACCCCTCTGAACATTATATCAGGCAGGAACACGCACCTGATTAAAATCCGACATTATTTTAGCTAATATACAAAAGAATCCAAAGTCCCCAGGAGGATTAGAACCCACAGCATTAGGAGCAAGTATAAGTTTAAAGTCAATGACCTTAACCACTCGGGAATTCACAACTATTCACGCTGATAGAACTATTTTTTTCAAATTATTAAAACTATAGTAGTGACATTATCAATTGTTGACAGACCTACTGTCCCCAGTTATTATGGAACCTTTATTTAATGTTGAAAAACTACCCTTTCCAGAGTTGTGTTGTTAGTCAAAAGTTATGTTGACAGACCTACTGTCCCCAGTTATTATGGAACCATTATTTAATGTTGAAAAACTTCCCTTTCCAGATTTGTGTTGTTAGTCAAAAGTTATGTTATATGTCAGTGAGACTAAAAATTTTTGGCAAAACGTTAAAAAAGATTCAAAGAAATCTTAACAACTTGCCAATTATAAGTGGTTTCCAGGACAGGAAAATAGTAAAAAATATAAATGTACGTTGACCTACCAAATGCGATAAACCTTAAAAAAAAGTATGTCAGCTTGAATTTTCGTGCAGTATAACTAGTCTCTATACTGTTGGTAGCTCAAATTTTTCAAATTAGATACTGAAATCACTAACATTTTAAATGAACTATTCCTAATGGATTTAACTCAATACAGGATTGGCACAGTACCTGTAGACGCTTGCAAAAATCATGATCACAATATAGATCAATACTGTTTTTTTCCCCGATTTTTACATTTTTCATTCATTATCAGACATAAATCGGTGTGAAAAGATGAATTAGACGTTTCAAAGTTCATTTAGGTGGGTGAAAAACAAGATTTTAGCATTTTATCATTCAAGCGCCTTGTCCGGTATATACCGAAATATGGTATTTAGTTTGTTGCTCCAGTCCTTTTTTTAGTCTCACTCATTCCTAATTCAAAGCTGGGCAAATCCATTATATAAATTCTGCAGGTAAAGGGTTAATTGTATTATCGAGGTCACTTACGCTGTACAAAAATTTGCTGCCTGCAAGATGCTTGATTTCCAGCCTGGTCTTCCACTTGAATAGTAAATGTGTATGTTCTGTACAAATCGTTAGTCCTCAGAATCTCTGGTTCACCAGTAACAAAAAATTGCTTGATTTGGTCCCGCTGATTTAGAGGTACAACATCTTCAATGCTTAGCTTATCATATTGTTTTTCTTCATTATCAGTGTCCATAAACACAATACGATCTGCTGGGCAATTTATCAGTGGAGGTTCCTCATCTTAAATACATATCGAGTCATTTGAATTTTTTTTATATATATGTTATAAATTTACCAATAAGGTCCTCAAAGTATCACATTTTCACCTAAATAAATAACATTACAATACATGTCTATGAACAGGACCATGATCAAAATGTTTTACACAGAGCTTTGGTGAAATTTCCTAAATTTTACAAAATTTGACCTGAAACAATTTGGTCATTTTGAGGTCAAGGACACAATAAAAAAATTCTTAGTCTGAAGCTTCAATCAAAAGTGAATAACAAACCGACCCTACTGAATTTTTTATCAATATGAGAGGCATGAAAATTGAAAAAGAGGGCAATGATGGCAGAATACTTGTTAATTATAAGATTTGTTTTATTTTTTGGTTTTTTTTTTACTATATGCATACAAGGAAAATCAATGACCCCCCAAGCGGGGCCAATTTTGACCCCAAGGTCTTTTTTTTAAAATAAATTGGTAGACACTCACTAGAAGATGTTTCATGCTTAATATCTAAGCTGTAGCTCTTTGGGTTTTTTTCAAAAGAAAATTTCTTTAGTTTTTACTATATACATATTAGGAAAATCATTAACCCTTCGGCAGGGTCAATTTTGACCCCAAGGCTTTTATTTGGACAAACTTAGTCACTTACTAGAAGATGTTTCATGCTCAATATCTAATCTCTAGTATTTGACTTTTTTAAAACAAGATTTTTTAAAGTTTTTACGATATACATATCAGAAAAATCAATAACCCTCTGGGGCGGAGCCAATATTGACCCTAGGACTGTTATGAGAACAAACTTGGTAGACAGTACTAGACACCCTCTAGAAGATGTTTTATGCCAAATATCTAAGTTCTAGCTCTTTGGGTTTTTTAAAAGAAGATATTTTAAGTTTTTCTTTATGTTGCCATGGCAGCAAGAGTTTTGCATGGAATTAAATTCTTTGAACAATTTTTAAAGGTGATAATCAAAGAAACATTCCTGTGAAGTTTGGATGAAATTGGCTAAATGATTTATGAGGAGATGTCGTTTAAAGTAAAAGTTTAAAGACTGATGTCGGACAGACGCCGCACAAAAAAAAAAAAAGATCACAAAAGCTCACCATGTCACTTTGTGACAGGTGAGCTAAAAACATAAAATTATCTCTGTATATTGTTCTTCTGGGGCATATATATATGTACATGTTTATGTATGGGGCATGTATAAGCAAAAATGATAACATGATAAAGCCAAAAATCTCTATCCAAAATATGAAACAATTTTTTACTTACAGTAATCCTATTATAGAATATGTAGTAAAAACAAACATTATAAAATGAAATTCCTTATTTAAAGGGGAAATAATTGATAAAATGCAAGTGCAAGAGTTATGGGCTGTGTCTTATATAATCTATGTGGGAATAAAGAACATGTGCTTCAGATTGAATGAAAATCCAATCTACAAACTTTTCTTAAATAACAATGCTGTGTATAATAATGTGGATGATGATGACTATACAGGACCTAGGCTTAAGGAAAGACCAAAACCAAATTACCTGTTACTTCAACATTTACTGTGCATGTTTCAACATTACCAGCAAAATCTGTTGCAGTATATACAACTTGTAAGTTATTGCTTACAAAATAAGTTGTATTAGCGTTGCTAGGAGATATGGTGAAGCTGCGGACGGCTGTGTTGTCACTGACTGTCAACTGAGGTAGCCTTGGTGGCAGAGCCTCGTATTTTCTTATCGATATTGGGGTTGTTGGACAATTGTTGATAACCGGTTTTTCTGTGTCTGTAAAAATATAAAACAACAATATCAGCTGTGAAAACAAGATATAAGAATATTTATATCATATGTAATGTACATTTAGTTATTTCTTGTTGTCATCCACTCTTTATAGAATTTAGTTTAGTAGCAATTTTTTTTTCTTTCCAATTTTTTTTTTGGTTGGGTTTTACACTGTAAAGTTCATATGGCAACTTTCCAGCTTTACTGGTGTAGAAAAACTTTAGGTGCTCCTCCATGAATCATTTCAGTTACAAACAGGCACCTGAGTAGAACCATCAACGTGATCCACAAGCTAGCTGGATAGCTCCAACACATGAAAGAATCCAAACTCCCTAGCAGGATTTCAACCAACAATGTTAAGGAGCTAGTGGTTTGAAGTCAACAACCATAACCACTCAGCTATGGATACCAACCGAAATTTTATCAACATACAGCTAAGATTTAGTTAGTGATATCGTATCAAAGATTTCAAAATCCCCATCAGGATTTTAACTTCCATATTCTAGTGAAGAGAAAAATGATTTGAAGTCAGCAATCGTATCCACCTGGCAACAGAGACCCATGGACAGGGTTAAACATATCTATTAATAACCTACTGTGTAACAAGCTCTAGCAACTTGTGTTAATCACAACAACCCTCTGAGTCTCTATATTCTGACACTACCCAGTACTGCATGGTGTCATAATAATGAAGCATGATCATGACTGATATAAGGCTCAAAACTATGATTCCTGGGTTTTAGAGACACACAGCGACATCTCTCCTTTCTTAAAGACTGATTGTAAGCATCTGAATATCAAGCTTTACAAAATAACATATTTTTACTGTCCATCACATTGGTCAAATGTTTCACAAGTAACAATAGTGTTTCATTTAACAGTTATTGAAGCAAAATGAAATTTATACAAACCTCTACATGTGGGCACTTGTTCATTATTAGAAAAGAAGTTGTCTCTATTACAGGTCAAGGTCACATCATTAGAGAGGCTGTATCCTTGCCTAAGACATTTAAAGCTAACGGTGCTTCTGTCTGCAAAACTATCAGCTATTATATCACCATCTGGTGGGTATGTGGGGTCCAAACACTTCTCTCCTGAAGAAAGATATACCAAACAATGTTAATGAATACAGCAAATTTTCATATACAAAAACATTGTAAAAAACAACCTCATTTTGTGTCAGTCTGGGATTATTTTACTCGGATGTGTTTATTAGTCATATAAACTCATTTTCTATCATGTAGATGCTTTAAGGCTTTAATGGTTGAACATTTTACACATAAATCATGAACAGTGTATGCTTGTAGTTACTAAAATGAGAGTATTTTTTAAATCCTTATAATGCAATATTAGTTTTGAGAGTAACTCAAAGTTCAGTCCTTAGAATACCGAAGCTAAGAGTAAATTTGCTTTGTTTTTTTTTCCTGTTTCTCTGTCTTTTCTCGGGAGATTTTGACAGGCGATATTACATGTTTGCCCTTACGTTAGAAACCAATTTTTAGTTTAACTTAGGGGCACCATTCTTAAAACACAAAATCTGAGTGTAACTTAGCTTTGTTCTTTGTGTGTATCTCTGTTCATCTCTTGGAAAACCAATTTTCATTATTGCCTTTTACTTATCATTGAAAAATGCCTTACGACTAGCCTCTGCAGTGTGTATAGGCTAGTCATACATAGCTAGAATTGTTGGCTAGCGGTAAGGACCTGTACGGCTAACAAATTCCATAAATATAGGGGTAGGGTGTTTGTGATAGACATCAGGCACCCATTAAATCTGATAACCGACCATACTTTTTGGGTCCCGATACCCTTAATTTACCATTGTGTATCTGACAAATCAAACATATGCCAATGCCATCATTATCATTTATCAATAAATAGATGCAGATAAATGATTATTCCCAATTCTCTGCCTTTTTGGGATTTTTGGGTGAGCACTTCTGATGATGGATTAAAATCTCAAAATGAAACTCAACTCATTTATCAATTGTGGTAAGAGTTACTAAAGAACTGACCCTCAATCCTTACACTGCTTGAACTTTTAGTGATCAGTCTTTGCCACCCATAGAGATCCTGCTCTGCATTATTTGTTCTGTCTATGGGGTGAATTACTAAACTTCCAAGCTTTTATATTCATATATCCCTAACATTGCTAATGAACAGATCCATAAATGGGAGCTGGGCAAGTCCATTTAAGAAATTTAACATGTTAAAAATAGTTTTAAATCTTACCAGTACACTGCAAGCTTCCAAAGTCCCAATATCCTTCTTTCAAACAAAAGACTCGACTGTCAGACCCTGCCTGAGTTTGCCCTTCACGTGTGTCAGATTGACAAGTAAAATCAAAGAAGCTTCCCAATGTTGTAACACTTGGCAAAGCATAGGAACTCCCTGGTGCCTGTTTTGGTGTACCACAATCAATCACTACAAAAATGAAAATAACAAAAAAAAATTTGTAAGTGATATAATAGTCAAACATGTGCCTACAGTCATCTTCAGACCAGAAAACCTGCTATAATTGCTAATGTATTTACCTTTTTGAACAATAGCAGCTCAAAGAGAGGCTAAATATCGATATGAAATTTTTTTCATTTGCCACAAACTGGTCGTATTTTTTTCCAAGAAGTTGACTTTGATATAACACTTCCTGCTTTGACAGGTCAAGCTTATAAATTTGATTATTTCATATAAAAAAAACTTCATTTGCATGAAAAAAACAAACATGCATCTGCATGAAAACAAAAACCTTGAATTTGCATGAAAAACAAAAACCTTGCATTTGCATGAAAACATAAACCTTGCTTTTCACAACAAATACATACCTCCACATTCATATTGTGATCCTTGCATTTCATAATCATCAGTATTAGGATTGTAGGTGCAGAACCTGTACTTGTCAAAAGTGTTATCCCCAACAGTACACTGTAGAGTAAGGCGCTGACCATAGTTATAAGGTCCGCTCTCAACAACAGGTGTTGTTTGGAGAAAATTCGGAACAGTCTCTGCACAGCTTGCAGCTAAAATATCAAAGACAATTTTATTACAGGTTTGATAAAACTGTATACTGGAATCATTGCGTACAGGTATTTTCGTAATGACACCTAAAATGATTAGCTTTTCTGACCAGTATAGAAGCAGGTCTATCTGAACATCCAGTCAGGTTAACCAACATCTATACTGTAAGTACATTAATTATTGTAGTTTAATGTTAAAATCACTTATACTTTAAATGGACTTTTTCTAATTCAAACAGGACAAGATCATTACAAAAATTCAACAGGAATAATAATTTATATACAGAACTTAAAAAAACTAAGGAGCTTAGACATTATGTTGTATTTCAAAGGAATGAGATTTTAAGCATAGTAAATAAATCGTAAATTTTTCGATGAAATTCTTTAATCATTAAAAAGTCTGCATTTTACATTTACAGTGTAACACTGACCTTGACATACTGGTTCGGTTCCAGTCCACTGTCCATCAAAACCGCAGAAACGTACGATTCTTCGAGGGGTGAAGCCTATGTTACAATTATACTCTACATGATCACTATATCGATGATATTCTCGTTTTGTAAGAATCTTTCCGTTTTCAATATTCTGGACAGGGGTATCACAACTCAACACTGGAAGAGAACATTAACGTCAGTTTTTATTAAATCAGTCTTTTACAATTTCATTCCTGAAAATCAAAATGACAAAACTTTCGCCACCAGTACACTGACACTCTTACTACGCTGTATCCTACATCTGTGCCTCTGACAAGAGCTCAATATTATTAGCAGACCGACTGTAAATTGTCATCATGATAATTATACGAACAAATGATAATAGACTGCTTTTAAATGAAAAGTTCAACAAGTCATTTCAGGAAGTTAGTAAGGTAAAGGTTAAGCAACTTCAAATAGTGATACTTAATGACATCCATGAATTAATTTTGTGGCAAATAGTATAATTTTATATCATCAATAAGTATTTCTTTGCTTTCAACAATAGTTGAATAGCATTTTTATTGGCTTTTTAAGTCTGACGGACCAACAATTACGTAAAATGCATATTTCTTCATCATAAGTGGCACCTTAATAAAAACCACAGATATTTACAAATTCGGATAGCATTCCTCCACATCCTTTACAAGGTGGTTTTCAGTAATTTACTAGTAAAAAAATGTGGTGTGGTATAAATTATAATGTTTGTTCTATACTTACAAACACAAGAATGACCAATATGATAAGTGTCAGTCGATAAATCTCCTCTTTCACCTGCTCCTCGTGGAATAGCGTAATTGGAGACCAAATCTGCTGTGTATAGCACATATGGAGCACTGCATTCACATCTGTATGATCCCTGCTCATTTATACACGTTCCGTCGCAATCGTGATTAGATGCACACTCATCTATATCTTAAAACAAAAATCAAAGAGCAAATGTCAGTGGGGATACAGTTGCAACTATATTAAGTGTAGAAATTCCGGCTTAAATAATTTGTTAGAACAAGGAGAAATAAAGAATTTTGTTCCTGAAAACTTGGAAATGACTAAATTTCAATAATGAATATAATATCAATGTCATTAAAATTTTGAGGACTTTCAAAATATCTTTTTGCCTGTTTTTTTTGTTTTTTTGTTTTTTTAATTACAAATACCAAGGTCTGCTATAACCAACTCAATAAAATACTCCTACATGGCAGTACAGTATATTTTTATAGGCACATATTTTTATAGGCACATACCATTACAACTTCTCCTGTCAGACGTTGATAAAGTATAACCTGCGTCACAAGAACAATAATAGCTTCCATCTGTATTATGACATTTGAATCCGCATATGTTTGTATCTGTACACTCGTCCTTGTCTGAAAAACAATTTTGAAAAAAAAAATTGTAGGATAAGTTTTTATATGGTCTAAATATAGTTATAACTATTATCAGGGAGATTATATTTAAGATAGGCAGTCAAAAACATCTCCTTATTTCTTGGCTTTCATTTTTTATACCCACAAAATTTGTACTCATGTGATACCACTATTTAAATAATACTTTACAAGTGTGTTCCTATAGGTTTCTAAAATGTTGGATTTTAATTGTTGGATTTTAAGACCACAGGACAATGTTAATGTTCAATGTCGAAAATGCAGATTTAACATTAGTAAAAATCAATGTATGTTCTTTTTTTTTCCAGAGATATCCAACAGTTTTTTATTAGTTTTGCTGAGTTAACGTCATCCATACTGTCATAATGTCATATGACAACTTTCCTATTTCACTGGCTGAAGAGCTTGGGTACACCTTCATGCATTATTTTAGGCCTGAGTCGGCACCTAAAAAGGTCATAACCTTACAACTGTAAGCTAGGTGGATAGAGTTCTAAAGTAAAAAAATCCAAAGTCCCCGATAGGATTTGGAGCCACAGCAGTGAGGGGCAAGTTATTTAAAGTTAGCAGTCTTAACCCAGCCTAAACCATTCACATACATGTGAACTCTCCCACTTTAAGCGGGAGACTCCCACTTTCTGCAGCCATACTTCCAAAGATATTTCTTAAAATAAGGGGTATTTTCACAAATCAAAGAAATCTCCCTATTTTTTATGTCAGAACTTCCTTCTTTGTTTATTGCAAATTCTAAAATCTCCCTCTTTTTGAAGAAAAATCTCCCACTTGATCATCCAAAAAAGTTCACATGTATGCATTCAGCCACCTTGGTCCCTAAATATGATATGTCCCCTGCAGGATTTGATCACCACAGATGTAAAACAACAAACTGATTAGCCAATAGGCTTTCAAAGACAAGTAAAACACAAACAGACCATCACTATAATCTAGAATTAGAATGTAAAGGTTTTGTTTATAATGATAATGTTTATAGTGTGCACATGTCACATTGGTTGAGTCTGTAGTCGCCAACAGGCTTAAGATTAAACCTAAAATAATACCTACCTACACACTGTGGCAAAGCTGACAAGGTTCTGTCATTGTTACATGTGACACTTTGCGGACTATCTGTTGCAAACTCATAACCATTGCTGCAAGTGACACCAACATTTATACCAACATTTACCAAGTTACCAGCAGTATACCCATTGTAAAGTGCATTCTTAATGCTTGGTAGGAGGCAGGTCAAAACTGAAAAATATATACAAAAAATGACTTTATTTGTACGCAAATAGCTGAATTACCAGGGTTAAGTCCCTTTATTAACCCCTAGATATCAGAGTAACCTCCCTCTAATGATCAATCAGCAACATTAGGCAGTAAAAAAAACTATTCACTCAAAGTTTCTAAAGTTACAGAGCACTACATTTACTTCCTTGAAGAACAGTTTTTAAAAAGGAATATTCTGTTGATGAAACAAATTTATAACATAAGAAAGAAAATAATAAAAAGAAAGTTAGCAATAAAGAGATTTATCTCAAATGTGAATATATTCAGTGAACAAAAAGAGTCAGTTTTGTAATTTTTGTTATAAATACATTGATTTATTTATAAATGAGGGTTTATTGTATATAATGTCACTTTGGGAGTTAAACATCTTGGTTTTAACTATCTTGAGTGTGAATGAACTTTGGAGAGAAGCAATGACTCTGTCAATCTTCTGCACTGATATTAGTACATGACAAGGTGTATTGTTGCATCTGTTCTTATACATATTCATTGTGAAAATTAACAGCAGATGCTGATATTTCTCAACTATGACCGTTTAATAGAACCTTAATAAAAAAATAAAGAAGAGTAAAAGATAAAGTACCACTGCTTCTCTGACAGAATCGGACACCAATTTGATAACTTTCTTGAAATAGTAAAAAATTTTGAAAATGTAAAATTAACAGTATCAGTCTGGTAAGTGTATTTTCCAAATTACAAAAAAATGAACATCAGGCTTCATCGGAAAATGATCAAAATATTGCATCAAACCCTTTTGTTGGTCAGTAACATCTTATATTACATAACATTCTGCTGGAAATTACAATATGTACGTAAAAAATAAATCTTACGTCTGCATGTGGGTGCACCATTCTGAGACCAAGTGGCATCATCCTTACATATAACATATGGTTGCCCTACAAACTCATAACCAGCATTACATGTGTACTCATATATTGTACCAATTGATGTTCCATCTCCAAATTTACGTTCACCTTGCCCGTTTGCGATTGTTTCACTAACAACGCCATTTGGACATCCTCCGGCTGTATAAACAAAAAAATACAATTCAACTTAATATACAATTCAATTCAATATATGACAGGTAACAAGAAAATTACAAGAAAAATAGGACAAGTCAATATCTATGCATTCCTTCTAGCAGTTACATACTGACAAATTTTATCATATACCTTATAGTAATTCAATATGTTTACCTTATAGTAATTCAATGTGTTTACCTTATAGTAATTCAATGTGTTACCTGATACTAATTCAATGTGTTACCTTATAGTAATTAAATATGACACCTTATAGTAATTCAATATGATACCTTATAGTAATTCAATGTGCTACCTTATAGTAATTCAATATGATACCTTATAGTAATTCAATGTGTTTACCTTATAGTAATTCAATGTGTAACCTTATAGTAATTCAATGTGATACCTTAAAGTAATTCAATGTGTTTACCTTATAGTAATTCAATGTGATACCTTATAGTAATTCAATGTGTTACCTTATAGTAATTCAATATGATACCTTATAGTAATTCAATGTGTTTACCTTATAGTAATTCAATGTGTAACCTTATAGTAATTCAATGTGATACCTTATAGTAATTCAATGTGATACCTTATAGTAATTCAATGTGATACCTTATAGTAATTCAATGTGTTACCTTATAGTAATTCAATATGATACCTTATAGTAATTCAATCGGATACCTTATAGTAATTCAATGTGTTTACCTTATAGTAATTCAGTGTGATACCTTATAGTAATTCAATGTGATACCTTATAGTAATTCAATGTGTTACCTTATAGTAATTCAATGTGATACCTTATAGTAATTCAATGTGTTTACCTTATAGTAATTCAGTGTGATACCTTATAGTAATTCAATGTGATACCTTATAGTAATTCAGTGTGATACCTTATAGTAATTCAATGTGATACCTTATAGTAATTCAATGTGATACCTTATAGTAATTCAATATGATACCTTATAGTAATTCAATGTGATACCTTATAGTAATTCAATGTGATACCTTATACTAATTCAATGTGATACCTTATACTAATTCAATGTGATACCTTACAGTAATTCAATGTGTTACCTTATAGTAATTAAATATGATACCTTATAGTAATTCAATGTGATACCTTATAGTAATTCAATGTGATACCTTACAGTAATTCAATGTGATACCTTATAGTAATTCAATGTGATACCTTATAGTAATTCAATGTGATACCTTATAGTAATTCAATGTGATACCTTATAGTAATTCAATGTGATACCTTATAGTAATTCAATATGATACCTTATAGTAATTCAATGTGATACCTTATAGTAATTCAATATGATACCTTATAGTAATTCAATGTGATACCTTATAGTAATTCAATGTGATACCTTATACATGTAGTAATTAGCTATGATACCTTATGGTAATTCAATACAATACCTTACATTCATTCATATGATACCTTACAGTAATTCAACCTGGAGTAACACAACAGAATAACTCATAAAAGAAGGATTTCCTTTGGTATGGTTATTTCTTTTGTCATAGGTTGATTTTCGAGCATTATTTCACACACAAGCTGGCACCAAAGTAGAACCACCAATCTTTTGTAAACTTACAAGTTAGATCTGTCAAGATTTGAAGAAAAGCAGTTAGTGACAAATGCATGGTAACAAGTCCGGGACCTGAACCATTTCACCACTGAAGTCTTAAATCTATTTATTTCATATTACACCATGCAAAATTATCTTTGAGTTAAGAAATCTTAATCATATATTCCATCAGATATCAAAGCTATCTAAATGGATCTACATTCATTACAGGCTAAACCATATCAATAATTACCTCTACAAATAGGAGGACTTTCCCAGGTACCATCTGATCTACATGTTATTTCCAAGTTGCCACTAGCAACTGTACCAGGATTGCATTCATAAGTAACCTTACTTCCATACACTGTCCCCGTTGATGACACTATGTAACCGTTAGTGCTGACTGGAACATCTCCACAGTATCTTGCTGTATAAATAAAAAGAATTGTGGCAATTCATTCATTCTGTTCACAATGATAGACTTAAACCCCTCAATTTTCTTATTTTGCAAATAGATTTGTCCTTGACTTTTAATGCATAATCTGTGAACTGGCTTTGCCTTGCATTGAATTTGTATGTGTAATGGCTTTGCCCTGCCTTGAATTTGTATGTGTCATGTATATTCCCTGCTTTGAATTTGTATGTGATTTTCAGTTCTAGGAGGTTAAGGGTTAAAATAACTGCAATATGGTATAGATATTTTTTAATAAAATAAAACAAGATACCTAAAAATGAAGCAAATTATCATATTGTTTGATGCAATCAATAAACATAAAGCCAGAAATTTAGAAAATATTGAAGTCTGACATTCCATAAATCCTCATGTAAATATGGAACAGCTATTATGAGTTAGAAATTACCTAAATAAGAGGCAAAAGTATTGAAATCAGATTTTATATTTTTATGGTACAACTGTAATTGTCTTGAAAACTTACGTGTACATCTTGGAACTTGTCTGTAATTCTTCCATACACCTTTGTATCCACATTCAATATCTAACGATGTTTGTCCCGCAGGTATCTGTTCCTGCTGAAAAGCGTACCCGAGTTTACACGAGACAGTAGTGACAGCTCGGTAGTTTCTGTTTAGTGGCGGTGGATTCACAATCGTATTTTCATCATAATTAGGGTCAGGACAAGCTGAAAGGGGAAAAAGTTTCAGAGATAATAATAATAGTAATGTATCAGAGAAAAAGGCTTTAGATAAAAAGTTTACCATTTGCCAGTGGGCATTCATATAATATGTCATAACTTCAACCATAGCTAATATGTAATGTGCTCTGAGAACAACAGCCCATCCAATACTGATAGCTTCGTTATTCAATTGAATCATCTCTCACATTGTCAGTGTTATGTGTGGAACAATCTTTCATATTAACAGTGTTATGTGTTGAATCATATCTCATATTACCAACATTATGTGTTGAATCATTTTGCATATTGTCAGTGTTATGTGTGGAACAATCTTTCATATTAACAGTGTTATGTGTTGAATCATATCTCATATTACCAACATTATGTGTTGAATCATTTCTCATATTGTCAGTGTTATATGTTTAATCATATCTCATATTACCAACATCATGTATTGAATGTATTGAATCATATCTCATACTAACAGTGTCATGTGTGGAACCATCTTTCATATTAATTATTTCTCATACTGACTATATTCCAAACATTAATAGTAAATACCTGGTGACCAAGTTGCTTTAAATCCTTTTTCTGATCTTGTGACAGATGAATCCAGGTGAATTGTGGTTACACCACTATCCAAATTGAACACTTTACCAGCAAATTCATTAGTTGAATATCCTCTGCTTGGTGATCCTTCGTACATTTGCCCATTTTCATATATCTTTTGAATGAAAAAAAACATCAAATCCATTTCATTTTTTTATATTGCTCATGTACTGGTTGTTTTTCTTTAACCATATAAAATGTGAAACAAATAAAAAGACACATTTCCAATCTTAAAGAATTAGCTTAAATGGTTGTGGCAGTACTCCTATGTGCACAAACAGGCACCCAAGTAGCACCACTGACCTTGTAAAATCTAACTGGATAGCTCGCTCACATAGAAAATGAAAGGTGCTTAGTGGGACTTGTACTAACAGCAGTGTGTGGCAAGCGTCTCAAAATTCAGCAACCACAACCACTCAGCCCTGTTATAATAAGTGATTAATGTAAAGTAGAAAACCATTTTTTAAATTGCCTAAAATCATGCTAAAATTTTATTTATTTGAATTTTTGCATGCTACAATGTCATTCCAAAGTCCATTACACTTCGAAATAACCATCTTAAGTTTTTTTGGTTTTTTTATTTTCTAAATTTAATTTTGATACGTCTTACACTTTACTTCATTTGCTATTGCATAATTATGTTTTAATTTCAAATGATAGAATGAATCAAGAAAATCCTGTATCTAAAAATAATCTTCAATTCTCAGAATATACAGTCCTTGAAATAAAATAGAATTTCATCATCACCTTTAAGAAGTCACCATTTACGTCCCGGTTGTAGTCATTGGACTGTAGTCTAGAATTGCTGTCAAAATAAAATGTAACTGGTACATTTGTAGTAATTTTCCACTCACAGCTTACAGAGCTTGGATAGTTAATATTTCCAGTATATCCAGGTGTGTAAATTGTTCCCCAAACATCAGTAGTCTCATAATAACATCCTGTTAAAATAAGATAAAAAATAATTTTGATCATGCTAGGCAAAAAAAAACAACATTTATACAAAATTGATGTATTTGACAAGGGTGGGTGGAGAGTTTGAGTGTTGAATGATGGCCATAATAAGGTAATTCTATATCTATAATCTATTTACCCTTTGCAGTTCAACATGTGAAGAATTTTAAAGTTTTGATTGAAAACCCATGACCCAAGAACAAGGCCAAATTTGACCCAAGGGCTTATGTTTAAAAAATCTTTGTATATGTTTTTATGGCAATGTTTCTTGCTCTAAATCAAAGCTCTAGCTTTATGGGCCAAATATGACCCAAGGACTAAAGTTTGGAAAATCTTTGTATAGGTTTCTAAGACAAAGTTTCTTGCATTATATATCAAAGCTCTAGCCTTCTTTGTTTCTGAAGAAAAACACTAAGATTTTGCTATATGTACATTAGGAAAAGCAATGATTCACAGGGCAAAGCCGTTTTGACTCTAAGGACTAAAATATGAACTGTTTTGTAAAAGTTTACTTGACAGTGTTCCATGCCAACATCTTATCTCTAGTCTTTGCAGCTTCAGAGGAGCACCAGTTTCAATTTTTCCCCTAATTTTGAACCAAGGGCAGCAGTTTTCATAAACTTTGTAGAAGTTCAATAAACAAAACTACAAACAATCTAGGCTAAAGGCCTTGTGCGTTTTTGAAAAAAAGGTTTTTAAAGACATTGTTCATATTGGTTGCCATAGCAATAAGAATTTTTAATGAAATTTTACTTTTTGAACAAATTAAGAAGGGAACCAACCAAGGATCATGTTGCAATTTGGCAGGAGGGGATAACAATAAACAACTGCGACAGGGCAAGAGTCAAAGATCACCTTGAGCATACTGCATTTAAATAAGCTAAAAACAAACCCATATCAGCCAATCAGCTGATAGTTTACCTTGTCTGTACCGGAACCTGAAGGCCATATCTTTATTGACCATTTTATTTGTTCTCAGAAGAATGGACAACTTTTTATCTGTCGAGTAAATTACTTTGTTGTTTTGACAAAGCTCCTCGTCGTTACAACTTGTAGACAGCAGAATATTATCTCGTGGAGTTTCATCATCAAAGAACATAACCATGTCACCATCACTTAGCTTGAGGTCCAGAATCTAAAAGAACATAGAGTGGTAAAAGTTAGACTCAACGTTTAAGAGATTTTGAAAAAGTATAAAATTCATTCTTAAAGTTATTACGTCATATAGATATTTATATTTATACGATATGATGATATTATCCATTCCAAACCTTAAAATATAAATGGACAAAATGAAATTTTACTTACCTCTAACGTTATCATTTGACCGAACTGAAAGTTATTTTCTGTACTTATGACAATTATATAATCTCTTTGTCCGAGGAAGGTGTTGGTGTTTTCAACATCAAATGTTTTAATAGTATACTCTTTTGGATTATCCTGAGCCACTAAATTTACTTTTTGGCCTGAATCATCTTTCACTGAAATTTAAAATAAATTGAATAGCAAATGATCACTTTATCCCTTCAAAGTGAGATGTTTGTCCTGATTTTAAGAAATCAAAGAAAATATTTCAAAACTATCATTTTTTACTGAGATACATTCCAAATTCATAATTTTACAAGGTACAAAATATTCCCATACCATATTAATATTGATACTCACTGTCACCACTTTGTGCATTGTTTCAGTTAAAAACTGGTACTTTAGATATTCTATCTCAAATTTGATATTAGAAAATATAAATAATTGCTACACAGTCTCTTTGTAAATATAAAATAAACATGTTTTAAATTCACACAAAGAAGATATGTTATAATGTTTAAAATTCTACCCACTATAGGTGGTCACACTATGAATATAGTTATAGTGTCATTAAAAAGAAACTGGCAGTTTTTTCAGTTTTTTAAGAAAGGACCAACTTTTCTTAACCTGTAATAGGGAATGCAATTTCCCATACATTGTACATAGTTTTTTTCAATCTTTTATTCAAATTAGACATATTCAGTAAGAATTTGATAGATATCAATAAATTTCTTTGAAAAAAAAAAACAACGTTTTACTCAATGATGAGCATAGTATATCTTTAAGCATCAATTCACCATCACATTCTGTAAGCTAGCTGCATAACTTCCTCACATGGAAGAAATCCAAACATCCGGGCATGTTTCGAACCCAGAGCAGTGTCAGGTATGTGATTAACACTGAGAGACCTTAACCATTTCAGCAAATAATTCAAGATCAAGTCCACTTACAGGTTCCGTATGTTCCGGTAAAGCCAGTCATTGAGCCAGTGTTGCTGACAGAGGAGTCCGAGAAGAACTTGACGAAGATTTTATTGTTGTAGCTACGGAACGTTTTTCTCCCGATATTTCCAGATATACGGCCAACAATCATTGCCCTGCTTTCATCAAAGCTACCAGTCATCACTGTCACAAAGTCTGCATTATACTCAGTGTTGAAGTTATCAAACTGCAAAAAAACAAAATCATTGGCCATCAAGAGCTGCGGCGTGACCAAGTGGTTAATGTGTCTGACTAGTACATGTAATCTAAGTATTCTTGGTTGCGTGGGTTCAGACCATGTCAGGGGCTTGCCCTTGTTTGCTTGAGCAAGAAATTTTACATTCATTGCTCAGTACTGGTTGGTTCAAGGAACAGATTCTCGAGTGTTTCAATAAGCTTTACATGTAGCTTTCAACACAACTGAACTAAAATAAATTAGCTGTATAAACTTAAAACTTGCATAAATGTGTAAAAATAGTTGATCTATTTCACAAGTAGATGTGACAAATGGGTTGGTACTCAGTTGTCACGTCTAAACTCACATCTTCATGAGACTGGCATATTTCCTGGTTTCCATATGGTCAGTGTTCACCTTGATCAAAGTTGACCTATTTCCAAAAATATGTCAAATCTGTGTTAACCTGTTGGCCTTGCTGTCTCTTTGACTAGCAATTGCCACCACATTCTAGTTATATGAGGTTTAATACTGCAAGTTAAGATATAAACATCTAAACTACTATATTTCGTTTCAGCAGAGGGAGTTAATGACCTGATAAATGTCCCCCACATTGTAATAACTGGGCAGGTTAGGTAACTTAGTCCTACAAATTCTCAAATTACTAAAATCAAGCTAACCTGTACAAGAGCATTTGTTCCTGGAGGAGTCTCAATTGCCCAAGTGCATGTTGTAGCATCTCTGTAAATCAACGGTCCCAGAATTCCCTGTTCCCCAGTATGATGATATCGACATCTGGAAGCTGTAAAATAAAATCCATTTTAACCCTGGACCTGCTAAATTTGTATAATGGATGAGCCCTGATTTAAATTTGGAACAGTCCATCAGAAGTTTCAGGGATTTCTTTATCTAAAAACAAATATTGAGCTACCAACAGTTTAGAGCCTGATCATACTGCACAGATCTACAGGCTGGTCTGGTTCTACTCTGATGGCAAAGATTGATCACTTTTGGTTACGGTAAGGATTCCTTAGCATGTACAATGGAAGTCTTTCCATCTTAATTTTGAGAGCTGTGGGCTGCAACTACAGCAAACTCTGGACAATATTTTTATCATTACGGTAAAATTTATGAGAACGTTATTACAATTGACAGCTGTGCAGAGTTTTACAGGACACCATTCGACAGCTAATTGTAACAATTAAACATAAAAGCTATAAATTTCATCTGCAGTTTTTTACCAGTGACTGAATTGTAATGAAATTGTAAAGCCTCAACAAAAACATCAAGCCAATTTGTTAAGATTAAAGCACGCCCAAAAACCCTTGAAATAAAAAACTTACTACAGTTCATTTCATCGGAACCATCCTCGCAATCAGTTTTACCATCACATACATTATTGCCGTTAATGTAGCCTTTACCCATACAGAAGAAACTGCCTGAAATGTACGAAAAAAAATATGACTTTTTAAAATTAAAAAATGTTATACATGTACATGTATATAAAATTTTTGTCTGTCCTTTACTAATTATTTTTAACTTTACGGTTTTACCATGTTGATAAATGTTATTTACCTCCTAATCTTCTGGTCCACCTGGCTTTAAGAACTTTTAATATTTCTCTTATTAGGGTATAATTAACGAAAAGCAATTTTCATTCCTAGTTTAAAATACAGGTGGGATCACTTCCTACTGTTTGATTATATCCCCACTAGCATGCAAAATTCATACCTGAAAGAATGTCTCTATATCTTAATAACTGTTCTCTGATGAAAAAAATTGAGTAAGACAGAGGAAACATCTACTGAAAAGCATTTACCTTTACTAAAAACTTATAAAGCATACCAGATATGGTTTAAATTAGCAGAAGACTTAAGTCATTGATCTCCACATGAAACCAGAAAAAAAAATCTGACGAAAACCTTTTGGCATTATTGCACAAACACCCTAAATTTATTATTAAAGTTGACCAGTAAAACAGAGAAAAAAATTATAAAAAATATCTTGCCTTCAGGTGCTGCCATTTTTTCACAGATAAATGCACGGAGGATCATACAGTTGCTATAGGAAAATGTGTATGGTCGGTCATATACATAATCCTCACTGTTCTTGTGTGCAAAAACGCATCCCCCGTTAGAGTCGTCAGGTTGGTCATCGGACCAGAAGCCCTCGGTTTCCGTCGCTTCCATGCCATTACTCCATCTTAGTTCTGTACATGTAGCACAAGCATCCGACTTCTTTTTAGCCAAACCTTGAAAAGAGAAAATAAAATTTGTAAGAAAATTTCACTTAAAACTTATGGTTTTGCAAAAGTTTTTGACTGGATTTCAGTTAAAATTATCATTATACCAGAGTGTGGCTGCATTCATTTCCTAGCACTTAATCAATAACCTGCTGTTTCAGAAAAGTAATTGGCCAGCTATCCATCTTTGTACTGAAATTATCAATTTATGTGAAAATATTCACTTATGATAAATAAATCTCTCTATCTAGTGATCATTTATCACAACCGTGCCGTTTTGCGACTCCTAAATATGGTATTCAGCACGGCCGTGCATTTTTTCGAGTATGTTATTTGCCTCATACAACAACGTGTAAGACCGTTCACTGTCTCCCTCTTATATAGGAGATCATGAATGACGCCTTTCCTTTCGCTCTCTCTCTCTCTTCGCGCTATGTTGACTCTGAATTAAATTTATTTTAAGTTCATTACCAAATTTTTTCGAATTTCTTGAATAAAAATTCATGCTGCAGAGGCTTGCATAATGTACTCTCTCTCATTGATTGTTAATAATTCAGTATTGAACTTTGTCATTTCAATTCCTCTATAGACTGTTGGTGGCAACTGAATCTCCCGCTGGGACCGTGCAGACTATCTGTGCATTGTTATGATTATTATAAGTGTTTGTAAAAATTCAGTCAGTACTTTTTGAAAATTTCCATTTTTTAAGCGCCGCCAAACAGACAAAAAAATATTTTCAGAGACTCGTTCTAGATAGAGTAGGTTCTGTTGTTAACTGAGATATTATACTATAATGTGACTCCGGCGGGGGATTTAAAAATCCGATATTTCAACACTGGATCCCGTTCCGATATTTACAGTTTGAATTCCTGATTTAAAAAAAACAGAGCGGCCATCGATGCCTGGGGCGCTCACTGACTAGGCCTCAGGGCCGGGCCGTTTTAAACAAAAGGGGCTTTTATTTTGACAAACTTTGAGAACACCCATTTAGAAGTATTTCATGAATGTTAAGATTTTACTATACACAAATTTATGAATAACATGACTTTTGACCCCCCCTCCCCTGGCAGGGCAATTTGACCCAAGGGCTTTTATTTTGAACAAACTTGGTAGACATCCATTAGACATGTTTTCATGCTAAATATCTCAGCTCTAGCTCTTTGCTTCTTTAATAGAAGATTTTTAACTTTTTCTCTATGTATATAGGAAAATCAATGACCCTGGGACGGGCCAATTTTGACCCCAGGGCTTTTATTTGAACAAATTTTGTAGACACCCATTAGAACATGTTTTATGCCTAAAATCTATTAGCTCTAGCTCTCTTTGGTTCTTTGAAAGAATTTTTTTTAAAGTATCTTTTACTTATATGCATATAGGGAAAATCAATGAACCCCCTGGGGCGGGGCGCCAATTTTGACCAAGAGGCTTTTATTGAACAAACTTGGTAGACACTGATAAGAAGATGTTTCATGCTTATATTTAGCTCTAGCTCTTTGGGTTCTTTAAGAGAAGATTTTTTTAAGTTTTTACTATTGCATATAGGGAAAATCAATGAACCTGGGGCGGGGCCAATTTTGACCCAGGGCTTTTATTGAACAAACTTGGTAGACATCTTAGAAACAGTTTTACACCAAATATCTAGCTCTAGCTTTTTGGTTTTGTAGAAGAAGATTTTTTAAAGTTTTTACTATATGCATATAGGGCAAAATCATGACCCCTGGGGCGGGGCCATTTTGACCCCAGGGCTTTTATTTGAACAATCGTGTGGTAGGACACTTATTAGAAGATGTTCATGTTAATATCTCAGTCCTAGCTCTTTGGGTTCTTTAATAGATGATTTTTTAAAGTTTTTACTATATGCATATAGGGAAAATCAATGACCCCCTCGCGGGCCCGGCCAATTTTGACCCCAGGGGCTTTTATTTGAACAAACTGGTAGACATCATTAGAAACTGCTTTAATGCGCAAATATCTAAGCTCTAGCTCTTTGGGTTTCGTAGAGAAGATTTTTTTTAAGTTTTTTACTATTGCATATAAGGAATCAATGACCCCCTGGGGCAGGGCCAATTTTGACCCCAGGCTTTTATTTTTTGAACAATCTTTGGTAGACACTTATTAGAAGATGTTTAATGCTTAATATCTTAGGTCTTGCTCTTTGGGTTCATTAAAGAAGATTTTTTTAAGTTTACTATATGACAGTATAGGGAAAATCAATGACCCCCTGGGCGGGGTGCCAATTTTGACCCAGGGCTTTTTATTTTGAAACAAACTTGGTTAGACATCCATTAGAACATGTTTTATGCAATATCTAGCTCTAGCTCTTTGGGTTTTTTAGAAGAAGATTTTTTTAAGTTTTTACTATATGCATATAAGGGAAAATCAATGACCCCCTGGGGCGGGGCAATTTTGACCCAGGGCTTTTATTTGAACATCTTGGTAGACACCTCTTAGAAGATGTTTCATGCTTAATATCTTAGGTCATAGCTCTTTGGGTTCTTTAAAAGAAGATTTTTTTAGTTTTACTATATGCCTATAGGGAAAATCAGGACCCCTGGGGCGGGGCAATTTTGACCCCAGGGCTTTTATTTGAACAATCTTTGGTAGACACTCACTAGAAGATGTTTCATGCCAATATCTAAGCTCTAGCTCTTTGGGTTATCTAGAAGAAGATGTTTAAAGTTTTTTCTTTTTGGTTGCCATGGCAACCAGATTCTTGCATGGAATGGATTCTTTGAAAAACTTTGTTAAGGCTTACACAAGGAACATCCCTGTGAAGTTTCATTATGATTCTGCCTTATGGTTTCAGAGGAGATGTCGTTTGAAAAGTGTGAACGGACAACGGACGATGTACGACGGACGACAGACGACGGACGAAGAGTGATCCTAATAGCTCACCCTGAGCATGTGCTCAGATGAGCTAAAAACAACATAAAAAAAAATCAAACACAGCACCTGTATCTAAAATGTAAACCGTGCCTCCGGGCATTGATTGTTATCTGTCCTTTCCTAAATTATAGCAGATTAAATGTTGAGTCGCTAATTGACAGCAAAGTGACGTAATAAACAGTTCCTATACCCAATTAACTTATCACGTGTCGTGTGTCAGTCAATTGTCCTCTTTTGTAATTTGGCAGTTAGGAAATTACACGCTACGTCATCAAAACTACCCTGTAAATTTACATGTTATGGGAATTCGGCGCTCAACCTTTGATTTTCTTTGATTAGTTGCCGCCATGATAAAGATAAAAGGTGAGCGAGAATCATTTAAAGTGGATCATTCAAAAACCTGTTTGAGATGTCTAATTAACCTATTTTTAAGCGTGGAGTGGGTTATTTTTTGTTTTGTTTAGGAATTACACAATCAATCGAGGGAAAAATGTGGATTTAATTAACGGAACGATTCTTTAACTTATGTTACGTTATTTAACTGTCATAGTCTTATGTTTTGCACGTTTTCAAATTGCTTGTGTTTAATTATTGAATGACTGAAAAGACATATATTCTTCAAACTGAAAATAATGAAATGTGAACAGGAAGTGTGACTGTTTTAGAAATAGCCTGTATGACTACACTTATTTATTTATCTATTTATTTTTTTGGTGAAATAAATTAATATTGATCAACAAAAAATCATAAAAAGTATAATCATTTAATGATTTTGAGGGTAAACTAGATTCTTTGAACCAAATGTGCCAAACACGCATTGAAATTTGAGTCGATAAAAAAATCCAGTTTTGAGCCTCAAAATCCAGCTGAAAATCCAGATTTGGCCCATTTCATTTGTCACATGTATGTATACTAATTAAAAAATCTCCGAGCTAATTAAAACAAAATGATCTCAAAGTTGTGTAAATAACATCTGATTGTATTGGCTTTCACTTTGGCCGCATAGTTTCCATTTTATTATTTTATTTAAGATATACTGGGCAGAAACCAGTTTCCGGACAGAATTCGAGTTTTTTTAATTGTCTATTTTCTAATAATAAACATGCATTAATAAAACTAACATACCAAAAACCTGAGCTCTAACTACGTCCGATAACACAATTAATACTGCTTGGTGACGTAAGCAATGTACGAACTGAAGGGTTAAATTAGGTCATCGAAAGTGTAAATTGTTCACTCTTGCAGAACCAGTTTCCGGACATATATTCATATCTGTTTTTAACTGATAATTATTCTAATATAACAAAAAAATTCTTCTCACATATTAGCTTTCTAATATAATTAAGCTGATTTACTGAAAAATGTTTATGATAGGAAAAAAAAACGATCTCTGAATGACTGAAAATTGAAATGGATATTTTTTGTGTGTACGGCAGCAACGAAGTGCGAAAGTGGAGTAAACCTAGCTATACACCGTTTTCCGATACATTACAGATTTAGCTCTGGGGAATTACACCCAATGAACTTCGAATGAAGTACATTGTGCATTAATTGCTACCCCAAATTATATCCCAAAATCAACAAAATATTGCGCATGCGCAGAACAAATTACATGCCCCAAAGGGATATAAGGCTGTTTTTAAAACTCAGGTAAGATATCCTCACGAAATTTTAATGATGTATCAACTTGGAAGGAAGTTTATTTTCTCAAACAATCAAACCAAGCATCTTCATGACATATAATAACGATCGTCATCGATAAAGCCAAAATTAAGCCGTTATAATACTTGTCCGGAAACTGGTATTGTCCGGAAACTGGTTCCTGCCCAGTAAAGTAAATGTCATTTTGCCTTTTTTCAAAGAAAAACAAAGCGGTGAACTAACCAATATAGTAAGAATCTTCTGATGCACGAATTTCAGTAAATTTTCTACCAATGAGATCATTCTCTGGCTGGTCTTTGATTGTAACTAGACGAGATCCATAACTGAAACGAAAACAAAATTTGATCACAATAATCATGTTGGTATATGATATTGCATTAATTAAAATCACTACAAAGTTTGGTCAGTAGATGTAGATGGTACTTCAGAGAAGAAAAATATCGCTTTTCCACTGTTTCTTGCTTTTTTCATTGTGATCTTTATAAATTGATTTTGGATGACGTCTTCAAATGCATTTTGGTAGGTGAAAAGTCGAGATTTTAGCATTTAATCAAGCACCTTGTCCGGTATTTATACCGAAATACGGTATTTAGTGTGTTTCTCCAACGTTTTGTTGTTGGTTTTTTAGTAGACTACAGTGCAGAAAATTCAGTAGATAACGAAGATCCATGCAGTATTCTATAAAACCTTATTTTTTAAGGATATTCTAAAAAAAAAATGGGCATAAACCCCAATGATATTGTAAAAAGTATTCATTTTTGCAGGCGTTGATCGTTTAATGCAAATGGCGCAGTGAATAAGAAGGGGAGTAACTGTATAAATTTTTTTACCTATCACACATTTCTTCTGCTCTTGCGTAGGACCTTATGTGATCTCCATGAAATATTTTGTAACACTTGTCCCAACCTTTAAACCATCCTTTACTTTCCTCACATTCCAACTGAAAGAGAGAATAAATAACCTTGTAATTATGACACTAATTAGGCAATCTTAGAGTAAAATATTCAATTGATACAGTAATTAGCGGTTATATGCAGATCAGAAAATAAACCCTTGGGATCTTTTCGATCGTTCAGCAAAGTTTTGTGACATTTCAGAGATGCAGTATAGTTTTTTTCAACTCCTAACTATAATACCTTATATTGTACGTAAAGAAAAGGATCATGAATTGCATGTTTTGTACAAAAAAGAACAACATGTACTGTATGTATATATATACAAAACGGTTTGCCAACCTGTGCATTTATATAATCTCCCACTGTTATGAGAACTCCAAAAAATATAATATATTTCTCCATTATTTCTTTATTTCATAGCTTTATTAGCAATATCAAGACAACAAGAAACGTTAAAAAGCAAAACCCATTTCTGGTAAAGCAAGATACAAAATGTGTTTTATCACTAAAAAAACATTACATAAATTTTTTCATGAGAAGGATCTTAAAATTGTCTCTTTTATAATAACTTGTGTTATGAAATCTTATTTTCTCCATCCTCAAAACCCCACCCGAAATTTGTCACGAAATTTTATTTATATAATTTTATTTGCGCATGTGTTTTGCCAAGACTTCATGCTCTGGTGCGTTTTCGTTCGTATCAACCGGGTATCAATCGCGGGTACCAAGATCATTGGTGCGCGGACAACCAGTCAAAATCACAAGGTTATATTTTAATTACATTGTAAACTGATCACGTAAATGATATATAAGTTACCTTCAGATTTGAAAGGATGTATAGCCATTATAATGGCACATTTTTGCCCTGACGTATTAAACACAATACAAGTTTAAATCTTTTGGAATTTTTGTACATAAATGTAGCCTACATACGAAGAACTTATACAACAGGGTTATGCATGCAATCTGACGAAAGTTTTCTTACTACATGTATATAAACGTTATTAAGAAAGGAGCTGCTTCTTATCAAATTTGGGTGATATATACATGTACCCTGTAACACGGGGACACAAACTATACCCAGGTGAAACTACTGAACAATAGTGTTTGAAAGCTAACTTATGAAATGGTAGACATTATTATTTCACATATGTCCACATATTTGAGTATTATTAAAGTCAGTGACAAATAAAGTATATGCGCAATAAGTAAGATAATTTAGAAAATAAATCTATATTTAAGATTGCATATGTTCAAGGATTTTCAAATTCTGTTCGAACTGATATGGAAGTAAAATGTTGAATTCACGTCAAGAGTACGTATCATCCACCCAATTTTACGCTATTTGACGGAAATTGTCGAAGGATGACCACAAGTCTCTTTCAATGTGATTGATCATGAAATCCTCTCTACGGTCACTGGCACTGTACCTCAGCCCTGGCATGTACAGAAGTTACCAGTTCCCGGTGAAAGCGAAGTCAACTAGTACTGGAAAGCTGCTTGACAGTCTGCAAAGGAACGATGAGGTGGCTGAACTGTGCTCTAGTGAATTCAAAGTCATTTATTGCCGTAATCCGGAAGGAAAACAACAATACCACCAAAGTCCTTACCAAGCACTGTCCGGTTAGCACAATTTTGGGAGTTTTGGACTGTGAATCGGGCGACCCATGTTCGATTCCCGGGCAGTGCATGTCACTTTCATTGTGATTGGTCATGAAATCCTTTCTTTAATCATTCACACTTTAACACAGATCTGGCATGGATAGAAATGATTAGTACTTGTAAACTGCTTGAAGCATGTTCAGGAACAAGTAACGCGGTGGCTGAACTTCGCTCTGATGAACTCAACAAGACTTACTGCCGTGATCCGGAAGATCAAAAATCACAAACAGCAAAGCTCAAACCCTTCCTATTATACCAAAGGGAATAGACACATTAATAGTCAAGAGCAACGCATTTAGTATTGATAAATCTATATCAAATCATAATTAAGTCACTAATAGAACGATCCAAAATTTATTATAAAACGCATAAAAGTTTTATATTAATATTTACACCAAAAGTTCAGCAAGGTCAAAGTTCACTGTGGTTTATACAGATTTACCCTGCTTTGGTAATACCCGGATATTGAACGTTACGCTTCAAGTTATTTTTAGTCGGGTATATATATACATTATATTTATATTGATTTATCATTTAAACGAAGTATTGCATGGGACGAAGATCAAGTATACATAAATTTAGAAATTTTTCTAATACTTACAAACATAAAATGTCAAGAGATATACAAATGTACCCGAGTACAGAGACACTTGGGGTGTGGAGTTCCAAACGCCTTAAAATCCAAATAAATTGTTTATTTGTCAGTCCCAGCACATAAAATTTATAAATACTTGTATATCAATAAAACCTAATGTTTGTGTCTTGAAAAAGGAATACGAAAAATTTATACGTCTACAATATGTGTATACATAGTATTTCAAATTCTATTTGAAATATTTTTTTTTTGAAAGATCCGGGTGTATGTTATAAACGCTGATTTTTTTTCTCATAATAGAGTACATGTATATTAGGATTATTATATTAGTTCTAAACAATGCTGCATATATAACACATAAGAAGATCTCAGCAAGTCAGATTGCAATAGCTTGAATATGAGAAATCATAGCTTAATCATTTTTTGATAGTCTAAGGGATCAGGGCGCATGCTCATTGGACGAAGACTGGTAGACAGTTTGGATGAATGCAGTAAGAAATTCAAAAACTTAAACCGGTCGGTCACAGAGGTCCCTCAAGCTGTCCAAACTGTTGAAAAAGACCAACATATGGTATATATAACTTACCAAGCTTATATATAAATGTATAGCCATATAACCCCCCTAGTATTATACGTGTAGTTGATAATCGATTTCAAGCACCCGAATAAGAAGCCATCAAACACACTCTCGGTTTCTTGAATACAGCAAAACCTGTGTCAAGAGGCACTCTCCATGCACCGACCACCAATTTATAGACCTGATAAATCATGATTCACTGTGACTATGCCATAATTTCTGTTGACTTCCGGCTTGAAATGTATTTAATGCAGATATATACAGACAAACGTTAATCTATACAGCAGTGTCTACCAATCAATACCGTTAACAAACACAACGAAATATTGAATATTAATGAATCATATTAAACCATTATGAAACAAGTACACTTTGAATAACTAAACATTAAAAAATAGGGAAGAGAATTTAAGATATTTAGTTTAATCAGATATCTCAACCTTGAAAACATATGCTTGTCTGAGGAACGTGGTGGATTACAGGCACCACAGGGGTGACAATAATGTGCTATTTGAAGTACAAAGCCACTTAGACATTCAGTAAACACGTTTATGCTCAGTAATAAATGTACACTGTAGATATAAAGTCAGTGTTAACACGATTTGTGAAGAGATAAATCACTCCCGGGTCCGCCCCCACCCCTGGGACTGACTAGTGTTGTTATCATATGAAGAAACACGGTGGTAATCGCAGTAGGGTTCGAAACCATGAACCCCTGTGTTGACAGGTATATTCCTTTAAAACTAGGTGACCTGCGATATACCGACGTCTACTGCACATTTGAGCCGTTTCACGACAAAACCAACATAGTGGGTTTGCGACCAGCATGGATCCAGACCAGCCTGCGCATCCGCGCAGTCTGTTCAGGATCTATGCTTTTCGCTATCAGTTTCTCTACTTGTTGAAGGGTTTGTAAGCAAACAGCATGGATCCTGATCAGACTGCACGGATGCGCAGGCTGGTCTGGATCCATAGGCTGGTCGCAAACGCTCTATGTTGGTTTTGTCGTGACACGGCACATTTATAATTTCAAACAGCAACATAACAAATTGTCATAACTCAAATTATCACGAAAAAATAAGTGCCGCTCCAAGGACTCGAACTTGCTGGTCCGAGGACCGTAGACCCTGTGACATCCAAGGTAGCTCTAACACTGTGACTTATTTTATTGGGTGGGTGTTAGCAGGCGACTTTAACCACTTTTAAAAGAAACATGTATTAAAGAAAAAAAACTAGCTAAGGCAAAAATGAAAAAAAAATATCTGAGACAAAAAAAAAATGGTAACTTTTACGGATACACGATGTTATCGGTCGCAACATGTCGGCATACGGTTAAGACCTAAATAGCTCCCGTATAAAGAAAGGCGTATACGTTTTATATGCTTCCGTATAAAGCTTCCGTATGAAGACCTGCGTGCATTTCCACGTATTTCATTTCCTGCGATTTCATTCCAAAATTACTACCTTTCATTATATACACGTCAAAAGAGCATAATTAAAGTTTCATATATCTTATCTGAAGTTGGTTCGTCTATACAAATATATAATATATATACGCAACACTGGTTAATGATAAAGCATAACGTACGTTTAAAAATGTTGCAAAAAGAGTTCAAAAACCGGTTATTGACCTTTCGAAATCTTTTTATTCTCTCAATTTTTCATAATTAATTGTCATTTGAGAATGACATTTTAACAGCATTCATTGGTCTGAAACATTTTCAGTCAGATAAAATATCACAAGGGTAGTCTTATTTTTTATATATACATTATATAGGTTCATTATTATATCGACTTGTTTGGAGAAAAGCACTTGCAACACCATACAATAGACCTTCAAATTGAACACGAAGTTAAAATTTTTACATGGGTTAATACAACGGAATTTACAAGTTTTCCGAAGGAGGTTAAGAGTAAAATTTTTCCAAATTTTCACTAAAAAACAGCAACACATAAGTTGATATCCAAAACCAAATCCCAGGAAGTGTCATGACCCCAACCCTCTGAATCCTGGTACGACACTAAGATTCCTATATCCAAATGTACTGATACTGTGTCACGCTGACACGGTAAAGCTAGGTCAGATGGGGGTAAAGGTCATAAGGGACTACGAGCAATTCAAGTGGATGAAGATCTCGGATGCCTCTCTTTGCATTTTTACGAGGCGCATACAGGTTCCTAAGTAGAGCCAAAGGTCATAAGGGAGTTCG